AGGCTTTTAGAAAGTCTTTCAAAGTGTTTCTTCTTATTCCCAAAGAGCTATAAGCTGAAAACTTACATCTCAGAATATCTTAGCATCATGTGCAGTGTGCCTAAAAAACTGTCTATAGTTTATGGTCTATAGTCTCTGTGCAATATCTTCACAGAGAACAGAAAAATCAGCTTTTAACGTCCTCATAAAACCTCATAAAAGCAATGACAAGAAAGCTGCCCAAGAGTCTTTGTTAAAGAATAAAGGTGATCATACCGAATGTTCACTTTCAAGCTTGTTAGAATTATACAGACTCTCTTTTTGCCTCATATGCTGAATTTATATTCAGAATAATTCAGTGCCACCATTATGATGTATATGTTAATGATGTAATGTTTGGCAACTCATTTTCCAACTCCTTAACATTAAATCTTGACTAATAAGCATCTAAAAGAGATAAGATAAAACTTTATTAATCCCGCGGGTGGGATTAATCCCGCAGAAAAAGGGATAAATAGAATAAATAGGAATAAGAATACAAGGGAATTGCACATTTGATTGATTGATTTATTGGTAATTTATTTCAACATGTGAACAATATACAAGTACATTTAGAAAAGAAAATAATACTATACAAATTACATACAAAAAAACCCGTTCTGATTAATTTACATGTTGAAAGGGAGTGGGAAGAAGTGCACACTTATTTAGTCCCACCCCTTTGCCATAAATTATCAGTTAATATTTAGTCAGCTTCCTTACTGATATAATTTGTAATAAAAATAGTGAACAGATTTCTGATATACTATAACATCACATGAGGGGTTTTTTTTGTTTGTTTTTAGAGACATTCACTTAATTTAAATATTTTCCTTTTCTTTATAGTTTGAGAAGATCATATTTTTATAACTCTTTTTGAACAGTTTTATGTTTGGACATTGCTTTAATTCCATATTCAGACTGTTCCATAGTTTCACTCCATGAACAGAAACACAAAAGCCTTTTCTTGTAGTACATGCCTTCATTGCTTTGAAGTTACAAAAACCCCTTAAATTATAACTTCCTTCTTTCAAAAAAATAAAAAAATAAAAAATAAAAATCAAAAAAAACCACACACACACACACACACACAAAATACTCTGAATATTACCTGGCAGTTCTGTATTTTTTGCTTTGAATAGAATTTGTGCTGTTTGGAATTTCACTAGATCGTCAATTTTCAATATTTCAGACTGCAAAAATAGTGAGTTTGTATGTTCCCTATAACCTGCATTGTGGATGATTCGAATTGCTTTTAGTATTGAAGTCTATTGCACCGTTTGTTATTAACAAAAAGTATTGCACAGTGAAAAAGGCAATACAGCTTAGTTGTTCCCCTCTCCTTTGTCCTCCTGTTTCCCCTCCCTCTCACCTCCAGAGAGGAGTTAGACAGTTTGATGGCGTGTGGGACTGTTACGTTCCCCTGAGGGGTCTAGGCGGTGAGGGGGAAGTAACAAAAAGTGTCCGGGTCAGAAAAAGGAGTCAAGGAGGCAAAAGGGTTAAATTAAATAGTTTTATTAAAGTAGCTCAACTAAAAGAGACGGACAAGCCGCTATCACCATTTAAGAAAACAAACAAAACTCAGGCGTTGGTCAATAAAGTAAAACGTAAGCCAAAAAGAAAGAGCAGCTCACTAGCTGCAAACACAGCTCACTAGCTGCAAACACAACAAACACTCAGCTCACAAGCTGTAACCACACTAATGGCACTCTGGCCCAGAGCTCACTTTTCCCTGGGCTTAAATCTCCTTGATTACTGACGAGAGTCAGCTGCACAAAAGGGAAAGGTGGCACCTCAGGCAGAAGAGGTAGTGGGACACGCCCACACAGGCACCTTCAGGAAGAGGCCCTGCTAGGGCCGTAACCCCCCTCCCATAAATACAAACCCATGGTTTGTCAAATTACGATAACCAAAATGATTACGATAACCAAAACAAAACAATTAAGTCCATAACCGTTTCATGACGAAATTGCAGGCTTCCCACCTACCAAACCCCATAGCAACGGTTAGGCATTTCCTGCGGAAGCTGCCAATCCCATCTCAGTGGGTTCACAACATTGCCAGAGAGTGGCCCCAGACCCTCGAAACAGTGTCCCATGTGATAGCCAGGGCTTCGAACCATCACCTGTGGAGAACCCAGCAGGCAGCTAGCAGGCTTTACTGAAACAGACATGTTTGTTAGCAAGGGGTGCAGGTCTGAGTGGTGGTTTTATACAAGATCTGTCTCCCTGCAAGTCATTTTGAGGACCTGAGAAATGGTCAACCAGCGGCAGCTCAGGGTTAGTTGACCCCTTGCACTGATTACAGGGCGCTACTGAGCAATTGTGCTTCAAGTTTAGCCTTTTACTAGGCCTGGCAACCTTGTCGGTTTGAGAACCACGACTGACTTTTCTCAAAGCAGGCCCCTTTTGCGTTGAGTGGGCTTTTTGTTTGAGTGCCAGTTTGACACAATTGGCAACCACATGGCCAGGCTTGTGACAGAAGAAACACAGTTTGGGCCTAGATCTTAAAACCATAACTGCAATTGCCTTGTTAGCTGGCCCACTCTTACCTGTCCAGGATGCGCTATGGTGCACAGGGATATCATGTCCTACAGCACTTGCTTTATGAGTCAGCTTAAACTCATCTGCCAGGGTGACAGCTTGCTGTAAAGTTAAAGCCCTCTGTTCACTTAAATAACAAGCAATAGACTCAGGAACAGAGTTTTTAAAGTCCTCCACCAGCATAAGCTCACGTATGGACCCCACATTGTTAACCTGGCTTGCAGAACACCACCTATCAAAGAGCTTTGCCTTGTCCCTAGCAAAGTCAAGGTAGGACTGACCCTGTGCCAACTCCAAACCTCGAAAATGCTGCCTATAGGCCTCAGGTACAAGTTCATATGCTTGGAGGAAGGCACTTTTGATCTTTTCATAAACTAGGCCGTCCTGCCTAGACAGACCAGAACAAGCTTCTTGAGCCTTACCCGTGAATTTACACAGCAACATCACCCCCCCACACGTCTTCAGGCCATTGCAGTGCAGTCGCTATGCGTTCAAATGCAATAAATGGTAAATGGCCTGCATTTGTATAGCGCTTTTCTAGTCCCTAAGGACCCCAAAGCGCTTCACACTACATTCAGTCATTCACCCATTCACACACACATTCACACACTGGTGACAGCAAGCTACATTGTAGCCACAGCTGCCCTGGGGCGCACTGACAGAGGCGAGGCTGCCGGACACTGGCGCCACCGGGCCCTCTGACCACCACCAGTAGGCAAACATGGGGTTAGTATCTTGCCCAAGGATATTTGGCATGCAGCCAGGAGGCAGCCTGGGATCGAACCACCGACCTTCTGATTAGCGGCTGACCTGCTCTGCCACCTGAGCTACATAAAGAAGCTATGAACACTGGACTCACAGAAAACTGGAACCAGATGGATGTTATTGCTCACAAATGAGCCTCTGGACACCTGTTCACCAACAGATGTAGGCCCAGTGCTCGTCAGCTCCAGCTGATTCAACTGGAACACCATTTCAGCCTGAAGAAAACCACCACACACACACCTGTACCAATTCTCTCACAGGCTAGCCAACAAATAATGGTAACCGACCAACTTACCTTTTCACACACACACACACACACACACAGCAACCTTTACCTACCTATCTTCTGGAGTGTGCTGGGCTCAAGGCAACTTTAAAGGCAAAACTTCAGCGACCGGAGCCCTGAATTGCCTACCCCCCCAACAGGGAACTAATCCCCACCCAGGATTACTCCAAAAATAAGAAAGGCAAAATAATAAAAGAGTGCCCTTAAAAAGAACTTAAAAAGCTCAGCTGAACACTCACCTAACTGGGAAGGTGTATTTCTACTCTTATCAAAAAGCAACACAACCGTCACAAAAAAGCCATAAAAAAAAAAACCCAAACACCACTAATTTCAAACTCCCTTTTCATATCCCGGACGAGCCCCCACTTGTTACGTTCCCCTGAGGAGTCTAGGCGGTGAGGGGGAAGTAACAAAAAAGTGTCCGGGTCAGAAAAAGGAGTCAAGGAGGCAAAAGGGTTAAATTAAATAGTTTTATTAAAGTAGCTCAACTAAAAGAGACGGAAAAGCCGCTATCACCATTTAAGAAAACAAACAAAACTCAGGCGTTGGTCAATAAAGTAAAACGTAAGCCAAAAAGAAAGAGCAGTTCACTAGCTGCAAACACGGACATGCAGTTCACTAGCTGCAAACACGGACATGCAGCTCACTAGCTGCAAACACGGACATGCAGCTCACTAGCTGCAAACACTCAGCTCACAAGCTGTAACCACACTAATGGCACTCTGGCCCAGAGCGCACTTTTCCCTGGGCTTAAATCTCCTTGATTACTGACGAGAGTCAGCTGCACAAAAGGGAAAGGTGGCACCTCAGGCAGAAGAGGTAGTGGGACACGCCCACACAGGCACCTTCAGGAAGAGGCCCTGCTAGGGCCGTAACAGGGTCCAAGGAGTTTTTAAGTCTGTTGGTTCTTGTCTTTGGCAGAAGCAACCTGTCACTGAACAGACTCCTCTGGCTGTTTATGGCTGTGTGCAGAGGATGCCCAGCATTGTCCATAATGTCCAGCAGTTTCTTCAGTGTCCTTTTCTCTGCCACTGTCACCAGAGTGTCCAGCTTCATGTCGACCTATAGAGCCAGCCTTCCTGATCAGTTTTTCCAGCCTGGATGAGTCCTTCTTACATCATAGAAAAGTACTACAGCAACCACCAACTGGTAAAACATCCTCAGGAGCTTCCTGCAGATGTTAAAAGACCTCAGCCTCCTGAGGAAGTACAGTCGGCTTTGGGCTTTTTTATAGAGGTGCTCTGTATTGCATGACCTGGACTGGTCATGTTGTCCACCCACAGCCCGAGGTACTTGTACTTGTTGACCACCTCCACCTCCTCTCCCTCTATCTGAACCGGCAGTGGACCTGCTCTGGACCTCCCGAAGTCCACAACCAGTTCCTTGGTCTTTGAGGTATTGAATTGCAGGTGGTTTGTGTGACTCACAAACCACCTGCAACTATATTTTAGATTTTAGATCTTTTTAACAGATTTTATGATGTGAACAATCAACGAATTCAATGAATCCCAGTTTATGTAGAAGAACGAGCTGACACGTCTTCTTTCAGGTTGTCTGTAGAGATAAAAAAGAAATAAAATAAATGTTAGGATTAATCAATTCCACAAATAACATATTTGCAGTTTCATTAAGATCTAAAATTCTGATTCAATTAAGTATTTACTTCATATGTTTCTGAATGGAATTAACACATTTATTTTAATTTTGTTAAATCACTTCATGAAACGTTATTTTGAAAGCATCTTTCTCTTAATATGATGTAAAGTTATACTAAAGCACTTTTTTTGGATATATTTAAACAGGAGATTTTACTACAGCCAGTATTTTACATAAGTTTTAAAAGAAAGCTAAAACATGAGACAGAAATATGAAGTAACTCACTATGTGCAGAGCTGTTTGTGGTTTCGGCTTGAGGAAGCATTTGCTCCTTGACTTCACGGTTCTCTGCAGCTGTAGGGTCAGAAACACAATGTTAGTCCACATCCTGCTCTCATCTGTCACTTTTACAACAATCAAACACAACAGGAAACAGCCCTGAAAGACTGCTTAGATTAAAGTACAGAAACCCTTTTTAATTTAATGTGGACAAGAGATTAGAGAAAAGGGACAATGTGTAACTTACGAGATGGGGGACGTTTGTCTGAAATAAAAAAGAAAAAATACATCATGTTAGTAATTTGTTATAAATGTTAACACACTTTTTTTCAAGTATTATGTAAGGCATGAACATAATTTCATATTTTCATTTTGCAATCAGGAAAAAAGCATTAACTTAATTTGTAAAATTAAACCACTTAAACATAGACACTGGGCTTACTCATATGTTTATAGATATGTTCTGACTTTGCCCACAAAATGAGCTCATGTAAAAAGTAAAGCGACTGAAGGTAGAGAACGTACACATTTCTAATGCAGGTAAAGGTGTACCTTAGGATGTGTTTGTTTGGCAGATTTGATGGTTAAGAAAAGAGAAACAATGTTTGGGTTTCAGTAACTGAGTTGGTGGTTATTTTGTTCATAGACACAAACTGTAGCTCAGGTGTAAAAAACAAAATAAAAACAAACAAAACACAAAGACAGAAAGAAAAATGATGCAGAAAAAAGTAAATAACAGACAAGAAAAAGTGAAGTAACTGAACAAAAATCTACAAGCGCAGAGAAATGAAGGGGCAAGTTATGAAACACAACAAGCATGATTAATGAATATCGTTGTAATATATTGAGGATTTGAAAGAGTCTGATCATCCTGCTGGCAGAGAAAGTGTTACAATACTTTAATATTAACCTGAGGACTCAGCTTACACTGCTTTTGGTTGTTACCTGTTTAATCCTGTGTGCATTGTTTGTTTTCTTTTGAAAACTGTTAATAATGACTTCAATTAAGTCATATTACTCTTACTATCATTATTATTGTTTGTACTATGTCATCATTGTTGTTTGCATTATACAAGAAACATCCAGGAAGTTTGTTTCTCACCTGTCCTCTTTTTGTAAATAATGAATGTGATCACAGCGATGGCAGCAACAACAACAACAACAGCAGCAACAACAGGGATGATCAGGGAGAAGGAATTTCCTGTGGATCACAGAACAAACAAAAGGTGAGAACAAAAAGTTTCCAATCAGATAACAATCATGTACAAGAGCTTCGTTTATGGTCACTACATATTTGTCTCACTAATGTTTGTTTTCATTCCAACAATAAAAGTTCTGCCATTAAATTAAATTTCAATACATTGCCAATAAATTTGAACATATGTTTCAAAATATACATTTTCCCCAATTTACTATTTAATCTTCTAAAACTGTCCATTAGTCAGATAATCAGTGGCCACACACGAACATGTTTTATATTCATCAATGTTCAGCAAGGAAAAAATGTGGTGGAAAAACACAACTTGGTCTAAACTGATTTAGGTCTTAAAATTATTCTGACAGAAGCTGACAGAAAGAATATCAAAGATACTCGCAAATATAAAAAAAACAGTGAAAAGACAGCAATGTGGACAATAATTTAAATCAGAGCGCTCAAAACTTTAAATGTTAATATTTATTAACAAATTAACAAATTAGTATCAGTATGAAACACTTCATAACCATGTATACAATTGGGGAGGAATTAAACTTTTCATCAAACTCAAATAAAACCACGTGAACTGCACGGTTTTTACAGTAAACTAAAAGCGTGTTTCCTACCTTCATCACTTTTACCCTTGTTGGTTTTGATCACTGCTTTGTCCAGTGTGGTGACGATGTCCTCGTTCACACCAGAGAGCTGAAACACACAGCTGTATCTGTCCCAGTCTTCAGGTGTGATTGATGAGACATCCAGGTCAACACTCATCTGGAAGGTCCCGTCATTGTTGGTGAGAATCTCTCCTTTGTTCACCCCCTCATGAAACTCCTCTCCATCTTTCCTCCAAACCATCTCAGCTCTGTTAGGATAGAAACCTGTAGCGTGGCAGGTGACTGGAGAGGAGGAAGACTTCTGGAGGAGAGACACTTTGGGGAGATCTGTGGAGTAAAGACAAACAGTTCATTCTTTCTGTATTATTACTATTACTTTTATTTGAGCTGGAGAGGTGCATAGTGCAGACGAGACGTGAAGAAGAGAGTGCAGACAAGGTGGACACGATCAAGAGTGGAAAGGAAGGTTTACAAGATGGCAGTGAGACCTGCTGTGATTTAATATCTGAGGATGGTGGCACTGAGACAAATACAGGAGACAGAACTGATGATATTAAAATTATCATAAAGAGTGAGAAGGATTAGAAATGAGTATATCAGAGCTAAAACTGTGGAAGATGATCTGCTATGACGACCAGGAGCAACTTTAAAAGATTATTATTATTATTATTATTATTATTATTAAAACCATACCAATTTCTTTTGATGTGATGTAAAATTAAATTAAATTTAAAAAATGTGTCACACGAAGTGCAATTATATTAACCCTTTCACACATAGGGGTCACTACAGTGGACAACTATTCAAAGGCTGTTTTCTTGCACATAAACCACTACATTGGACACTGATGTGTCACTACATGCCTTGCAGGGTTATAGTTGTTACATATATTGTTATACTGTTATAAAATATTTTTAAAATATATTTTTGTTATGTTATAGTTTTTACACATATTAATTATTCATTTGTCAAATTCAAGTCAAAACGTTTGTTGTACAACTAAGTGGACATGTAAAAATACTCTTTGAAAATGAAAAGTATATGTTGAAAAAAATGAAGTTCAAAAATCTTTTTTTCATGCCTAAAGATGAATAAAAATACACAAGAAAAAAAGCCCTGATTGAGGTTTTCATAATTCATGCATGAAAAGGTTAATTTAATATCATATTAAGTAATAAACTGAGACATATAACTTTTGGTTAACAATCTAATTCTGGTCATAGATTTTACCTGTTTTCATCAGAGAGCTCCTCCCATAGTTCACATACTTCTTCAGTGACTCAGGACAAACCTGGGTGAAGTAATTCTTATACAGAGCAGTCAGAGCACTGTCATGATCCCACTTTATTGTTGTCATGACAGCCTGTTGTTTTTTAGTGACCCACGTCTGTTCCTTCAGGTCAAACATTATGAAGTCCTCTCCATCATAACCAAACTGCATATATCCAGTCACTTCACCTGTGTCTTCATCCCATTCACAGCCGCACATCCGCTGGACAATGTGAAAACCTGACAGAAACACAGAGACAAAGACTGCAGTGAACCAGAGAGAGGCTGCACTAAAGTCTTATACTGACACAGAGACGTGATCAACATATAGAGGATCTACATTTTTGGCTTTTGTCTCATTGGAAGATTTTTAAAACCAGTCATCATTAACAATGTAGATTGTAGAAAAAGAGAGTGGAAAAAAACAGAATTCATTTGCTGCAGGATCAGACAAACACACTAAGCTGGATCCTCAGCAGCCGACACAGATCCTGATTCTAGATTTACTTTCCATCCTCTGAAAGTCTGCAGCCGTCATCAGTCCAACAAATTCCTTCCTGTCTAAGATTTTACAACCATGTTTTCATTTTTATTACATTTACTAAGAGCAGAGGACTGAAACAATAATTCAGACCTTGAATTTGACTCCATGCTGGGACACTTTCGTGTTTTTTAGCGCTGTGACCAGATATGATTTTGCACTAAAAATATTAAAACATTCACATTAATGATATTATTGGATGTGTAGCACAAAGATCTGTGAGCGTCTTTGAGTAGGAACCTGAGCGCCGCTGATGCTGTGATGAGAGCCGACAGTCTACAGGTGAGAAACCCGAGGAGTCAGTCCTGCTTTTATAACATCGCTGCTCTCAAAGCCACGAGAAACGCCTCGGTGCATCATCACAGGTATTTTCTTTATATGAACATGTGGAGTTACACACCATCTAGGCTCAAATTCCACACTTTTCCAGCCCGTTTGGTTAATAAATTATATTAAAATTGCTAATCAATAAATCAGGACGCCGTGAATGTCCATGAAAATCTCGCAAAAACACCTCCTTATAGGCGGCAACAAAGTGAATGTGGGATGAGCTGGTGTTGTCTGCACTCCTTTGATTGGAGTGTAGATTAAGTGGAGGAGAAACATGGGGAGGCCCTGCATGAGTCAAGAAAATGCTCACAGCTGTCACTGAGAGAGGTGGGCGGGTCGATCCAAATATCGATAGTATTGATACCAACACTAGTATTGTTTACGGATCAATACTAGCATGACTGGACTGATTCTTTACTTTTATCCTTCAAGTTCAGTATGTAGCCGCTGAACTGTGTTAATTATTTCTGTAGTGGGGGTTCCCTTTGTCCAACCAAACATCCTACAGCTTAAAATTCACAAGGCACTGCTGCACTGTGGTAATGTTTTGTATGCAGGCAAAAGAAGTCCAATTATCAAACTCGAAAGTTGCTTCTACCCACTGCTTCTCCTGCTCTGGTAAAAACCATAGGCCCACCCCAGTGCATTCTGGTCCTATACCAGTCCCTTTATTTATATATTTATGTAGCAGCCCTTGGCATCAAGAACGACAGAAGAGTCTCTAACGGGTGCAGCCATTTTTTTCCTTCCTAAAAAATGAAACATAAACAAACCTCCAGTTTGGTTGAAGCACTGCTTTAAAATCTCAATGTTGGCTTTGAACCACTCTTGGAACTGTGGATCTACTGCACCGTCCACCCAGTCCTGTTTGGGCACCAGTTTCTCCGTGTTGCTGTCATAATATTCAATCTGAATATCATCAACCATCCCAACAACCACAAACTCTGTGAAGTTTGGGACTTGAGAGGACGCAGTGTAGAAATACTTCAGCGAGTGGGTCACTGTAAGAAACAGTTAATGTTGTGAGAGCTCAGTTATTAAAAGTTATTCAGCAGTTCTTGGAGACTGTTTGGGATATAATATATCACATGTAACCCTTCTGGATGATATCCAACAATTTTGAAGCAGAAACATTGTTTCAGTGACAAGATATAGGCGGCAATTACTTTTTGGCAGGTTGGAAATTGCATATTAACAATTTTATTGTTCCCTTAATGGTTATTCAGCAGTTCTAAGGGACTGTTTGAGATATAATGTGCCACATATGACCCATCTGAATGACATGCAGCAAGTTTGAAGCAGAAATAGTATTTCAGTGACAAGATATAGGCCACAATCACTTTTTGGCAGGTTGAAAATGACATATTATCGGTATTAATGTTCTGGGCTGTTTGAGATATAATATGTCACATAGGACCCTTCTGAATGACATCCAACAATTTTGAAGCAGAAACATTGTTTCAGTGACAAGATATAGGCGGCAGTCACTTTTTGGCAGGCTGAAAATGGCATATTATCAATGTTAATGTTCCTTTACAGGTTATCCAGCAGTTCTAAGGGACTGTTTGAGATGTAATATTTGACATATGACCCTTCTGAATGACATCCACCAAGTTTGAAGCAGAAATAGTATCTCAGTGACAAGTTATAGTCCACAATCACTTTTTGGCATATTATCAGTTTTATTGTTCCTGTAAAAGTTATTCAGCAGTTCTTGGAGAATTTTTGGGATATAATATATCACATGTAACCCTTCTGGAATATATCCAACAAGTTTGAAGCCGAAATATTGTTTCAGTGACAAGTTATAGGCCACAATCACTTTTTGGTAGCGCTAAAATGCCATGTTCTCAGTCGTTATTCTGAACAAACAAGAAAGAGTCATGGTGATACTGGCACAATAGGTCTTTATTGTTTTAACTACTATTCGACAGTCTTATAACAAATATGAACAACGAGAGTAGACATACTAAACCTGTGGGCATTAATTATTCCATCGTGATGCGTGTAGTCATTCGTGACTGCGCTACACACTGAAAGCAACCTTCTGACAAGCGTCATAATTCGGTTACAAGAAACGTTAAAGTTCCATAAATGCATACATTTGACTAATAACAAAGGCATAAATGTGGTTGTTTGTCGTCTCCCCCCCCCCCCGTTATATCAGTGACACGGAAGTAGCTGGCAACGCAAGTAATCCGGGCGCTGTAGCTTTAAGCAGCTGTGCGCGCTCCCGCGGACGGCAATCAGTTTCTGGCAGACAATCACATTTTGGCACAACACCTGTTATCATCAAATAGTTTTGGACAGAAATCGCCTTGTTTTAATCTTTGCCTTCATCTAAACTTTAATGTTCATTATTAGGGATGGAAGAGAGGAACAGACGATTTAATTACATGTATAAAATGATCGATTGTTTCTTAACATTGAAATTTTCTACAAGGATCTATCATAACTAAATGTTTAGCGTACAGGAAGTCTCTGGGGAACAAACAATCTGTCCATTTGTATTTCAAATTACTTAAATCTGACATATAAAAAGACAAAAACATAAAAGTCAAACTGACCTGCCGCTGCCCCCTGTATTCCCAGGAGAAGAAAGAAGATGAAGGCTTTCATCTTCTTCTTCATTGTGACCATAAACATCCAAACCTTTAACAGACTTTGTGTATTCGCTTGTCCAGAAAAAGCTAAAGCTAAAATGGAGAACCAGGAGAAACGTCACCATTAGCCTCGATCAGAGCCAATAGGGATTTACTCTGAGAGTAGACGTCACTGAAATCAACGAAACTGAAAGTAAAATATCTTCATGAACCAGTTTATCACGAAGTAAAGGTTAGTTTCATCTGGTCTTTATAGATTTTTATGTTATGACAGGTTTAGTTCATGTTATGTCGCGTATACACTGTATAATTTATTTTCTATTCAGTGGATAAAACCTTGTTAAGTTTCTCAGTGGAGTGATTTGTATTCATTTTAAACGCATACACATACACTGATACACACTCATCCCCCCTCCCTTTCCAAACGCCTTCGATGCTTGTCCCCTCCCGGGACAGATGGCGGGTCGACTGGACCAGCGCAGACATGCAGGACCGGATGCGCTGCCTACACCGGCTCTCTCTCACCCTTTACCCACCCCTGTTACTTGTCTTGTGTTTCTGTGGTGTATTGACTGTCATGTGCTTTTTGTGCTGAGGTGGGGTTTTTTTTTTCTGTTTTCAAACTGTTCTCCCACTAGGAGCTCATCTGAGTGGAGGTTTTTTTCTCCTCCTCTCACCTCATGTTGTGTATTTTTGTTTTTTTGCTTTTTCTATCAGCCTACCTCTCTGACATGTCTCCCCAATGTGATGTTTGTGTAAAGCAGTGGTTCCCAAACTTTTTTTGTTAGGCCCCCCTTTGTTTTACAAGAAAAATCGCATTTACTTTCCCTCCATTTAGAAAGGCAGAGGCGTCACAGTGTAATTATTTTATGTGTTGTTTTGTTTTTTCCTTTGTAATAATATTCAACATTGCTATCAATACATTTTTCAAAAATTCCTCTCTGTGCAAAATGGGTTCAAAAACATAAACAACTGTGGGATACTGTTTGTCCGTGATTTGAACCGGGGGAACAAATTGTGTTGCTGTAACCCATAATTTCCTTTGGGATTAATAATGATTCTGAAATTTAATGAAAATCCAAAGACCCAAACACAAAGAATCAAAACATGTACTTTAACACAAACATTGGATAACATCGGCTCTTTCCTGTTAAATGCTGATGTGTTATAAATGCTGAAAAGAAACTTTAAATGACTGCAGATATTTGAGCATCCGACGCTGTTTTATTCCTTATCTGCTTTTTCTGTCTATAAGTTCTCATTTATCAGCTTTGAATCACTTAATAATTGTTATACAGTTTAGGTTCAAATTAATGTGAATGTTACAGTCACAAAAAAAGCAACACTGGCTGTATCCCAATTCAAGGTCTGCAGCCTTAAATGCAGCGTTTTAAGGCCGATTACGTCACATTGACGCGATGAAGGCTGTCCCCCTTCTTTTCCCAAGATTTGAAGGCTGGGTCCAGTGTAGACTTCAGGGGTGTCCAAAACCATGGGCTGCATCCTCCTGAGGACGCATTTGTAGGCCGATTCCGTCAAAGCCAGGCGACAAAGGCTGTCCAAAACCGTAGACTCCTCCGAATCCAGCCGACAAATGCATGGCCCACCATATCCCAGAATTCATAGCGCGGCCCAGCCAATTCCAGTTTCCAACAATAGCGGCCGCTACTTAGTTTTAGTATTACTCTTATTACTCTTTCTAGGACACAAAATAAACTTTTAACATACTTTCAGGCGAGAATGTAGCGGTGTAAACTTCAAATATCTGCTCGGTTTATCAAGACATCACATATTTGCAAAAGTGCTCCGACATTTTCGGAGACGCCTGTTACCCACCAGCTTGATAGCTAGCCGGGAGGTCAAGGGTCACTAGAGCCGGCGACAACTGCGAACTCCCAGCACATCATTTTAAGATCACAGCAGTCTTTTGCTGCTCAGGTTAAAAGTGATTTATAAGTTACTTAGATAACCTAAAAATTTTATTGTTTGGCTTTTTTCAGTGTTTTATTTGTTCGTGAGTAAATCGGTTTGGCTGAGATTAAAGTTATTAGATTAGATTAGATAAAATAAAACTTTGTTTTTCACACAGCTGAATAAACGTCAAACAGAAAACTGATTAAACAGAAGTGTGAGATGGTCGAGAATTTACACCAGTGTCCTGTTATATTTTAGATAGCAAAGGAGCAGAAAGCTGAGTTTATTAAACTCCACCGAGACAGCGGTGACGCAAATCTGAAAGCTATAGACCGTCCAATAGAGATCAACAGACTACGTGACACATCCACCCTGACACTGCTGTTGATCATCTGTGTGCAATATCTCAGTCTTTCCATGTTCTGTGCAATATTTTTGGCTCATGTGCAATTATTATTATTTTGGTTTAAATGTTTCCTACACATACACCATGTATATAGTTCCACTCACATATGTATACATATACACTGTTTTTTATTTTATTCTATTTATTTAATTATTTATTTATTTTCCGCCTTCGTTGTATATTGGTTTCTCTTCTTCTTGTCACGGTTCTGGGTCAGTTTGACCCAGTATTTTGAGTTGTCATGTTTTTGCAGGTTTAGTTTAGTTCCATGTGTCATTTTCTGTCTGTCTCTCTATATAGAGTCTGCGTCTTAGTGTGATGGTTTCTTATTCCTGTTTTATTGTGAAGGTCTGCGTCTCATTAGAGTGTGTTCAGTTTTACCTCTGTCTCGTCTTGTTGATTACTCCCAGCTGTGTCCACCACCTGTGTGTAATTCCCCTGTGTTTCTCTGTGTATTTAAGTCGCGTCTTCTGTCTTTGTAGTTGCTGGTCCGTCTGTTTTTCCATCCTGCTTCATCTGTGTGTTTCCTTGCTGTCTACCATTGTCTACCTCTGCTCGCCCTCCTTCATGTTCGTGTTCTGGTTTCTACGCTGTAGTTCAGTTGTTTTCCAGTATAGTTTAGTTTGTCTTCCTTGGCCATTTATTCAATAAACCACCTTCACACCCTCACGACTGCCTGCGCTTGGATCCTCCTTCATTTCTTCCACACGGCTCTTCTCACTCGTCGTGACACTTCTTACTTTAGCACCTTCGTGGTTCAGCTACCCAATTTCGCTGTGCAAGAAACTGCACAATGACAATAAAAAGCTCTAAGTCTAAGTCTCTAAGTCTCTACACTTATTTTTTAATTACACCTTTACACTTTTAAGTACACTATTTAGATTCAGAAAAGTTTATATAACTATTTAGCCTTGTTGTGCAAACAAGCCTGCATAACTTAATAAATATAGAATTTGAAAAATAACAAACCTAAAAATTTACATTATATACTAGATACATGTTCTGATGAGTTTTGGCAAACAACCATTTGACTAACACGTCTGTCTCAACTGCTCTTGTTCCATCTCCCTCTCTCTCCCTCTCTGTTCCTCTCTCTCCCTCTCTGTTCTGACAATCAAGCCAAACACCAACATCATCAAATATACAGTTCAAACCAGTTGTTTACATACTCTTTAGATAAAAACACAAACACTTTTTTAATCGTAACATCAAATCAGACTAAATGTTTATTTTTTTTAGATTGATAAATATAAAAAACATTTGTTAAATTTAAGAGTAAAGAGAGAAACTATCTGTATTTCTTAATTGCAAATGGCACCTGATGAAAGATTTTTAATTTTGTGTTTATACTTAGTTGTAGCTTTTATTTAAAGGAAGAAGAGGTTGTGAATTGGAGCCAACACAGGGAGAGAGAAATTGAAGCCATATGTACGAAAGGAATGTGGTGACATCCGGTTTTAAACAGACAGACTGGCGCTCTCCCTCTCTTTCTCTCCTTTTATGGGAATGTCGAAATTTCTATACATACTACCTCCTTTGTTAAAAGGCAAGCTAACGGTCTCTTTCTCCTTTTAAGGAAAATTATCAGTTCCATACATGCCACTCCTACTGCTGTGGAGACTTGCTTTTTCTGAGTATAAATAAAGAACGTTCTGGATGCCCTGGGCAGTTTTTCTGTGTCTCATCTGTTGTGCACGTCAGTGCAGAGCAGATCGGACCGTTGGCTGCCCATGCGCATGTAAAAAATAGATATCTGAGTTGTGAGTTTCTTTATCTTCTAAATAATTTTCTCTTCACAGCACCAAATTGTATTCAAAATTGAGCCACACTTATGGAGCTCCACAATTCTTTTCCTGGTGTTTTGGTTGATATCTCTTGATTTTTCCATGTCAAAGAAACAGGCTCTGTGTTTTGCCTTATATGCATCCACAGGTGTGCCACCAATTTACTCACATGGACTCTACTAACTAATTGTCAGGCGGTGGAAGGAATACTTCGAGGACCTCCTTAATCCCACTGACACGTCTTCCTAGGAGGAAGCAGAGTCTGGGGATGAGGGGAATGACCCGCCAATTTCCGGGGCGAGGTCACTGAGGCAGTTAAACAACTCCTTGGTGGCAGAGCCCCCGGTGTTGATGAGGTCTGCCCCGAGTTCCTGAAGGCTCTGGACGTTGTAGGGCTGTCCTGGTTGACACGCCTCTACAATGTTGCATGGAGATCAGGGGCAGTACCTGTGGACTGGCAGACCAGGGTGGTGGTCCCCATCTTTAAGAAAGGGGACCGAAGGGTGTGTTCCAACTACAGGGGGATCACACTCCTCAGCCTCCCTGGGAAAGTCTATGCCAGGGTGCTGGAAAGGAGAGTTCATCCGCTAGTCGAACCTCGGATACAGGAGGAACAATGCGGTTTTCGTCCTGGTCGCGGGACGAAAACCGCTGGACCAGCTCTTTATCCTCTCGAGGATACTTGAGGGTGCATGGGAGTTTGCCCAACCAGTCTACATGTGTTTTGTGGACTTGGAGAAGGCATTCGACCGTGTCCCTCGGGGTGTCCTGTGGGAGGTGTTGCGGGAGTATGGGGGTGTCTGGCCCATTGCTACGCGACATTCGATCCCTATACAACCGTTGCAAGAGGTTGGTTCGCATTGCCAGCAATAAGTCGGACTCGTTCCCGGTGGGTGATGGGCTCCTCCAGGGCTGCCCTTTGTCACCGGTTCTGTTCATAATTTTTATGGACAGGATTTCTAGGCGCAGCCAAGTGGCGGAGGGCTTTCGCTTTGGTGGACTCAGAATCTCATCTCTGCTTTTTGCGGATGATGTGGTTCTGTTGGCTTCATCGGGTGAGGGCCTCCAGCTCGCACTGGAACGGTTCGCAGCCGAGTGTGAAGCAGCGGGAATGAGGATCAGCACCTCCAAATCTGAGGCCATGGTTCTCAGCCGGAAAAGGGTGGAGTGCCCACTCCGGGTCAGGAATGAGTTACTGCCCCAAGTGGAGGAGTTCAAGTATCTGACAGATACTGAAGCTACTGATATTGAAGCTCTCAATTTACCGGTCAATCTACGCCCCTACCGGCACCTATGGTCACAAGCTGTGGGTAGTGGCCGAAAGAACGAGATCGTGGATAAAAGCGGTAGAAATGAGCTTCCTCTGAAGGGAGGCTGGCCTCTCCCTTAGAGGTAGGGTAAGAGTTTAGCCATCCGAGAGGGGCTCAGTGTAGAGCCGCTCCTCCTCCACATCGAAAAGAGCCAGTTGAGGTGATTCGGGCATCTGACAAGGATGCCTCCTGGGCATCTCTTGGGTGAGGTGTTCATGTCTCACCGGGAGGAGGCCCCTCCTATATGACAGAGCACGTTTTTCAGCAGATTGAACCAGAGGATGAGAGACATGATAGCACCATGCTAACACTGTAATATTTTTTTCAATTTAAAATTAAAGCAGAATAGATTTAATTTTTTAATGAACAAAGAAAGTGCTTGCATAATCCAGGCTTGATGTTTAATCTGTTAATTTGTCCGCATTTATTATGTTGGCAAAGTGTGAGGAGGTAAACTTAGATGGAGACGTAAGGAAATTTGTTTGTTCAATTATTTCTTTGTTGCAACAATGTTTCTTGGCAATAAATCTTATACAATTTGAAAGCCTTTTTATTTCTCCTGAATTGGTGCCACATTCGTTAGGAAAATGAATCATGTTGTCACAGAAGACTTTACACTGAAAGCACCTCTGCAGTCTCTTCTCTTGGTGTATTTAAATGGCAAATAGACAAACACCTATCATTCACTCTTATTTTATCCTTAAATGTAATTATTTTATACAAATGGAAATCTTTATACGTATGAAAGATTTCCATTTGTTTGCTCTACATGCTCCAAGTTATATAGCTTGGTCATCTTTTGATTAGGAGCTTTTAATTCTTCTATAATCATAGGTAGCACATATGTTTTCATCTATTTCCTTGTGTCTATCAAACAAACCCTGCTGCGGCTTTTCTGGTGTGACTTGGATACAAACAATGAGGAAATCACATCAGTTAAAGGTACAGTGGCAAGCCTCGCTAATTCTGTTGGTGGTGTTTTGCAGAAAGACCAGTCACAGTGTTAGAGCGCCACCACTGGACTCAAACGGCACTCCATTTCCACCTCTTTCTGTGAAACCACGTGATCACTCTGTTAAGTTTCGTTTTTGTGTTTATGACACCCGATCTGGTTTGATTTGCAAGCGTTGGCGCACAAACGGAGAACAAAGAATAGGGTGTTATCTAATATATGTGCCAGGAGGTTAAGGCTTCTTGTCTGACTTGTTCTGCAACGTTCCTGCAAAAATAAAGAAGTGAAACAATCAATTGACAAACAATCAATTATTAACATCAACATTTTAGACAGGTCAGAAGGACATACATTTAAAAATAAAGTGTAGAGCTAACTTCTAATCTGTAAAGAACAAGTTACTAAACTCACATAGATTAGTAATTTATGATGAATTATGTATGCATTAAAAAACATAAATAAAAAAAAGAACTTCTATTACTAAAACCAAGGCCTGTACACTCAGTATGCTGCTTTTACAATATAAAAACAAAGGTTGTATGTTTAGATTTAAGACTTTTAATTTTTTCTGTTTCTCTTGTCCTCATCTGACCGCTGTCCTCAGACTGGGTTATCTTTCTGATGCCTTGCTGCCACTGACGTAGCACGTTACTCCACAATTTGCCTTTGGTTTATTTTTAGCCAGAGGGCTCCATCTAGCGGCGGGATGGCAGTACTCCTGAATGCAATTTTGAAGACGTATTCTTCTAAGCTACTGTAAAATCTTTGTTTTTAGGCTTCCAGGTACTTTAATTTTTCAGATACACATTCACTCTTATGTCAGCTAATCCTGATATATTATGAACTTATGGCGTGTTTTTGTGTTTTTCCTGGATAACTGTCGGACTCGTCTGTATGTGAAAGTGAAACTGAACTTGATCTCGGACTTGAAGGGGAAAACCAGCCAACTAAACCTTGTTTAGTCCGTTTGGTTGCAGCTAGACGAGGGTACCTGACTGTGAAGAAACACGGATAAACATGACGGAATTATCTACCATCTTCAAACTGTCTCTGATCGCCGCTACCTGCTTTATTCAAGGTAAGCTAGTCGAGCTCATTGTTGCTCTGCTGGTCTGACAGACAAAAATACATCTATGCATGCTGTATTACTAATATTATAAACCGTACATGTAAGAAAAACCTTTTTTATATGCATGGAAGTCCTCTATCTGTTCAGTAACATACAAAAGTTGAAAAACAGCTGGTTGGAAATGTCCAAAACAACTTGGACAATAACGTCAAGTTTAACTCTTAAGTAAACATAGTAAAGGTCATATTTAATGACCCTTTTACAAGCTGAATTTAAAATAATGGCCAAATGCGTCTTAAAACATGTAAGTGAATGTTATAGGTGGATGCATGATTACGTTTAACAAAAATAACATAAATTTAATACGTTTTTAACATGGAGTTCTGCGTGAAACCCCGAGTGAGTTTAACTTTCTGTTTCAATAATAATTCCTATAAGTGCCTTGTTTATTGGTTGAGCTTGAAAAGACAGTTTGCACAACAATACTTTTCTGAGTGGATGATGTCGAGAAACGTAATGGCATAATATAACGTGGTCTGATATTTACAGAGGTTTTACTACCCATTAATCTCCTGTTAAACTTTTGTCTGAAGCCTGCAGCAGCAGCTGTCCAGTGTTGGAGTGCTGGTTTGTGCAGGAGAAGGCGGGACGAGGAGGAGGTTTAACTGGAGCTACGACCCAAGAAAAATCCCTCCTTCACATCAGAACCGAAGCAGACGGCCAGAATGACGAGTCCCAGCGCGCTCCTAAAGACATCAACCCTGAAAGAGTCTACTCTGTGATCGGTAATGAGTAAAATACAGTCCAGCTTAGTTAAATTAGTTCTGCAGCTCGATAAAAGTCATATTTTATCAGAGTTTACGTCCACTTTTTCTTCTCCTCTCTCTTATCTGGATGCATTTACATCTGATTGAGTCCCAGTATGTCTGAACCATGGCTAGCAGATTTTACCGCTGCTAAAGCCTGAGGCAGATATTTAACGTCCAACATGACAATAAAATTGGCTCAGTTAACAGAAAGAAGTCCATTAGGCATAAAAATGATTGAAAACCATAATTATTTACATGAGAACATTTTAGATGATCTGTTGAAAATAAATGAAATGGTTCGGCCGAAACAGTCACACTAACATTTCATCATCTATGATTGCTCCATTTCTTCGCTGTAGCGTCATTTTGATAAGTCACAGCAAAAATCCCACTGATGGGAAAAACAGTCATTCAGTAATAGTCAGGTGATCAACTGACCTCGTATTCGTGAACACACAGGGTCGCCAAACCTCCAGTACAGGGGAAGGCTCTCACCTGTTTCCTTAGTGAAGTCCAGGTGGTGACTTTCTTTGTCTGGCAGTGTGTAAGAAACATATAGACCAAATGTTCTTCTATAAAACATCCCAGCTGCTCGTTTTAGTCATTAAAATGTCCTGGTGTTTAAAAGTTACTGCACATAAAGTGTGTATTTAGCACATTAGATCTGGAAAACATGTATTTCCTAGGTTGTTAGTTTGACTCCATCATCATTTCTCTTTGAGTTATTAAATATTATGATTACATAACAATTTAGATAATAAATCTAAATGTGTATTCATAGCAGCTCTGCATGTTTCTATATTTTTCTTTTTGTATTTTTATGGATTCCATCATTGGACAAAGCATCTCTTTTTAAGATTTATTTGTTATGTATTTTCAAAATGTGTAGGTTTAAAGGCATATTTGTTTAGGGGCAGGTATGTAACACAAACCACCCTCCACAACATTTACAGCATAAAATAATTTGCCATATCTGTCCCATGTGGGCCTCTGAATAAGCAATACTGAGCAACACGTGCAAAAATTATACCAAAAATATAAAATGAAAAGCAAAAGAAGAAAATAAAATTAGGTAAAAATTGTAATTCCGCAAACTGTGTTACTATGTGGGTTAAATTATTCAATTAAAATTATTTACACACAGCTGTTCATCTTATTTTCTTTTATTTATAAACAGATCGAGTGTCTCAGACATCTTACATGTTGTATAAGCGTGACCTTTGACTCCTGTTTCTCAGACCCGGCTGGCACCCTCTGCCACCGCTCGCTCAACCCTCCCAGAGGCTCTGTGACGAAGCCCCAGTGTGAGATCAACCCCTTCCTGCCGCAGCCCTCCAGCCTGGACTGGGTTTCCTCGCTCACAGAGTCTGGCCTCAGCCCCGTGTACCTGCAGGCTGAGTGGTTTTCATCTGCATTTCAGGGCCTCAACGAACAGCTGGGCATCTCTACTATCACCCGCAGCCCCACAGGATCTAAAGAGCACAGTGGTAAAGATTTGATTTTAACCCAACACATTTATATCTGGGGGTTCACAGATCAAAAAATTGATTGGCCGACAATTATAAAAGTTTATTATCTCACGTGTGTCGGTCTGACTCTGTTTCCTCAGTGATCCTGAGCGTGACGACTAAAACGGTCTCAGTAAAGTCCAGACTCGGGGAGCCCGTGCAGCTGGACTGCGGCTTTTGGATCAACCCTTCCTCTCCTCTGTATGGGGCTGGATTCGCCGTCGAATGGCGGTACCAGTTCAGAGGCCGCGGGCGGCTGATTCTGGCTTACGATGGGAAGACTGACCGCCTCGCCGACACGCAGGAAGAGGGAGCCACGCTGGACTTTGATGCTTTGCACGAGAAAGGAAATGCATCCCTGCTCCTGCAGGAGGCTAAAGTGCTTCACTCTGGGACGTACATCTGCACCGTGTATCTGCCACACCTGCTCGCTCAGGTGGCGCTGGACCTTGAGATTGAAGGTGAGGAAAATGTATTTCTGGAGCATTGTGCACGTGTTTGCATCACTGAAATAACCAGATGTGTTTAAAATAAACACTCAGCTCTGTAAAAACTCCAGATTTAACTTTTGACCTCATCTTGTTTTTCTGCTCCTCTCTCCACCCAGAACCGCCATCCCTCTCCATCCACCCCTCCCCCCTGCCCCTCGCTGTTCCAGGTCAGACTATAAACGTCCAGTGTGAAGCGTCCGGCTTTGCGCCCCTCCCTGTGGAGTTCAGCTGGGAGATTAAAGGTGCCGACGGGAAGTCCAAGACCCTGGATTCATTCAGCGTAACGGGCCACAGGCAGGCCTGGGACCGCACCTTCAGCCAGACCTCCCGGCTCGAGATCGACACCTCTAAGCTGGACCTGGGCAGAGGAGGGGAGCTCACCTGTGTAGCCGCCCACGCTGGAGGCACGAGACGGACCAGCGTGACCCTCAATGTCATCGGTAATGTGAAGCAAACCTGGAAGACACGCAAGCAAACAGCTCAGGTTATGTTGAGTTAAAGCAGTTTTTATACAGTTGGAGAAGGTACTAATGATGAAATAGAGAAAAGAAAGGTAGAATAGTATAGAAGTGAAACTGATATAAGAAAAGATATTACCACTAACATAACACTTTCCTTTTAATGCGGCTTATTAGGTTAGTATCACATATAAATGACTAAATATTTAACTAATCTTGAAACACGTTTACCTGGATAACTTTTGAGTTATCGTAGTTTGACACATTCTTAGATTTAAGTAAACAGTTTGAATCACCAGCTTCTGGATTTAAAACAGTTTGATTTTGTTAATCACAAAGTAACCATGTGGTACCATTTATGACCCACTGTGATATTTTATTTCTAAAAAGATTTACTGCATCACAAACCTTCAGACTAACCTGAACTGTTGCATTTAAGTAATATTTAATGGCATTAGAACATTTTAGTATATCTGTTATAGATGAATGAAGCAGCACAGATATGATAAACACCATGAGAGCCATTAAAAAATGACTCCTGTTAGTACCTGAAATGACTCGGTTGGTGAAATAACTCTTAAAGGTTTAATATTGAAGTATATATAATACTGTGCAAACGTTTTAGGCAGCTGTAAACAAAGAATGCTTTTAAAAAAGTGATAATTATCTATTTTTATCAATCAACGAAATGCAGTGAATGAACAAAAGAGAAATTTAAATCAAATCACCTTTGCCTTCTTCTACACTTGCACAGTTTTTGAAGGAACTCGGCTGGTAGGTTGTTCCAAACATCTTCTGTGGATGTTGGCTTCCTCACATCTCTCTGTATCTTCATGTAATCCCAGACACACCTGAGTATGTTGCTATCAGGGCTCTGTGGGGACCGGACCATCACTTCCAGCACTTCTTGTTCTTCTTTACACTGAAGATGGTTCTTAATGACTTTGGCTCCATGTTTGGGGTCATTGTCCTGCTGCGGAATACATTTGGGGCAAATAAACAATCATTTATATTTTTCAAAAGCGTTCTTTGTTTACAGCATTTTTTCACACCTGCCTAAAATGTTTGCACAGTACTGTAATAATAATTTAACTGACAAACCTGTTCAGATCAGATGAATCCTAACGATCTTTTTTCCTTTTCAGGGTTCAGTTCTCCGTCCATCGAGGACTCTATGGCGATGGTCGGCGTGGCGCTGGTGCTTTATGGGCTCATCAAGTTTGTCTCGTGGACATTTACCAGCTCAGGTAGCAAATACTGATGCAAAAATATCGTCCAACAGTTTTAATGTGTATTGAAGGTTTTTTTAATCATTTCAAGCTGGAAAAAATCTTGTCACCTTTTGGATCAAATAAAAAAGAATGAGTAATATGTTTCAAAAAGTAAGATGTTTATTAAACTCTGTGTCTGACTTTTTGTTTTTTCATTTGTATTTTCTCTGTAAACAGGCTCAGCTGAAGCTGATAAACAAGATAAGGTAATGTCACTGTAATATTTACTGCAGACAAACATATAAATGTGTTTACAGAAATCTCTTATTAATTGATTTACCTACTGTATGTTTCATCACCCTGGACGTGGTGCTTCTTGGTGTTTCCTTTGAATTTAATTTTACAATTTTTTCCCATCACAGAAAGAGAAGTGAAGATGAAAGAAGGCAACTGACCATCAGTGGCATTGATCCACTCGATATGTTTGATGGGATTTCAGGAGGGGCTTTCCACATGTTCATGGGACAGATTTTTTCTTTTTCTTTTGTTTTTTTTACTGCTCTGGTTTGAAGGTAAACTTGTATGTTTTATGCTTGTTTTTAGCAAATTTGTTTATTATAAAATGTTTGGATTCAACTTTTTGTTCTTTAGAAAGGAACAGGGATATCTCGAAGACGCTCAGTTCAAACACGTTTTTGTGATGTTTCTTTAATCTTTCTTTATAGAGCTGTGTGGTTTTGCCTTCCTCTGTTTATGGTTTATATGTCGTCACAAACACTGGAAAGAAAAACAATGAGAGGAAGTTGGGAGGGATGTGTTGAAACATCAGCTTCTGTTTTTTAAAGGTTAATCCTTCCATTCGATGTTCCCGTCTGTCTAAAAACCTCATTAACTCACGCTTTTTGGAACCAGAGATCGGACTGTATTTGTTGGTTTATAAAGAAAAGGAAATGCTGTTTTAATTAAGTAAAAATAATTAGATTAATAATAGACTCATTATTTTAAAAATAATATTTATAATAATAATAATAGACTGTTCAAATTGTCCGTCTTATTTTTGTTATTTTTGTAAATATGGAGATTGTATTTCTGTTTTCATATTATTTTTAGGTGTGTTTGTCTTTTTCTTCATCACATGCTTGCCCGGGATAATAAACATTAAACCTGTGACTGAAATGGAGATTTTACAAACAGAGCACAAAATTCTGCTGTAAGGAAGATTTTAAATTAGCAAATGATTTAAATGGACTCTGAATTTTAATTAAATAAAAAAAATCTCTTGAAACACACCAAATAAGTCCTCTTCTTGTTTAACACTCTGCTCTTATACACGCTTTAAACCACACATTCACTCACACTTACTGGTCACTTCATTAGGTACACCTTAATAATACTGGGTTAAATACTTTTTTGTCCTCAGAGCTGCTTTAATTCTACATGGAATAGATTCAATAAGGTGCTGCAAATATTCTTTGGAGATTCTGGTCCATATTTACATTTAGAATCACACAGTTTCCATGGCATGTCTCTCTCGTTCTGCTACATCCCAGAATTGCTCTATTCGATTGCAACTTGGTGACTGTGGAGGCCATTCATGTACAGTAAACTTATCCTCATGTACAAGAAACCAGTTTGCAATGTTTTGAGCTTTATGACATAGTGCATAAGTCTGCTGGAACCAGCCATTTAAAAATGGGTACACTGGTAACAAAGGGATGGACATGGTTAGCAACAATACTCAGGGAGCCTATGGTGTCTAAACAATACTTTGTAACAAGGGGCCTGAGGTTCATCAGGAAAATTATACCCCATCACCAGCCCGAACTGTAGACAGACAGGATGATCCATACTTTGATGTTGTTTACCCTAAATTCTGATCCTACCATCTGAATGTTACAGCACAAATCAAGACTTGTCAGAGCAGAAAACGTTTTTCCAATCTTCTGCTGTGTAGTTTGGTAAAGCAGTGTGGTAAAATCCAAGCAGATCAGCATTTTCTAAAATATTCAGAGTCAGACTGGCTATAACCCCCTACGACGTCGAAAGTAGCTTAAACCATCTTTCTTCACCATTCTGAATCTCACATTGAACTTAAACACAAAATAACGGTAAATCTGATAAAAGTTCAAAATATAAAAGTACTAAATGTAAAACAATTAAAGAAGCTTTATAAAGTCAATTAGGTACATTCAAAGAAATAATAATAATAGTAATAAAAATTGACATCAACGGTACACGTCAGCAGCTGTCCAATGGGAAATGGCATTACTCATCGTCACGAATCTGTCGTCCAATCAGAGGCGTTGATGTTGAGCGGAGTTTAGCGGGTACATTTTCGATCTCGACTCGATAGCACAGCTAAGTGAAGGGGCATTGTTTTGATGAAGAAGATCCAGTCTGATAAAAACGAACGAGATTAGAGGTTATCTCGGGTTTGTTTACCCGGTTCACGAGGCGATGAGAGCGTAACTCGACTTTTTTTCTGGCAGGTTATTTTTTTACTTAGAAAAGTCCTAATGCTAACTAGCCTCCAGAGCTAACGTCAGCTAAGTAACTGGAGTGTTGTGATGTCCTGCGGCGGTGCAACGTTTTCTTGTTTCGTTGTCAACTCCAGCGGCTCGTAAAGAACAGGTCGGTGTGTATCCTACTGTCGCATTATTACGGTGTGCGTGGGCGTGCTTTATTTAACCTTTTGTCTTTAAGTTTTCCACCTGTAATGTGCTGTCTGTGTCATCGTGATTAGTTTCACTTTCATGTGTTTGGAAACTGCTATCCCGTTTGTTTTCCTATTTTCCGAGTAAACACAGCGGAACGATAACACTGATCAGCCGGCTTCTGTAGCCCTAAATGAAGCATCAAATTCACAAACTGTCGATGCTTCTGTGTTAATGCTGTAATATGGACGCAGGAGCCTGCCTTCCAGTTATTGAAGTTTAACTGATGATAGAAAATGGTGGCATGCAAATCACAGGTTCACACATCCTCAGGTGACTTGTCTAGGCAACGGGACATTGTTGAAAGCAGTCAACTGACATGACTTTGGAGACTTCTAAGACTTCTGAGGGCCACAGAATGTATTTTAGCAGTTATTCCAGAAATCCATTACCCAGCTTGGGAATTTGAGTGATCATGCCCCTGTTTTAGGAAGCTATTTGCTCAGATTAAACTGTTTTTTTTAATCCAGAGGTGCTTCATCTATTATCAGGTAACTATGCTGATCCACAGTAGGTTGTGTTAAAGAAGAGTAGCATACATGTATAAAGCCATTACCTACTGACCAATCAAACCGACCATCATTCTGATGCCCTGGTGAGCATCAGTAAAAAATATGGATTTTTATACTCACCTTTATTCCTGCTTTTTCCCTTTTCACTGCAAGCAATGTTTAAATTATTTCATTCCTTTATATGTGGGTGCAGCTGAAACTGTCTCACACACATCTGCACACTATAGTGTTTATTTTACAAACTAAAAAATTGTAATTATACTTCAGATCCTCCTGTGTCTTTATGGTGGAGCTGTGAAAGTGACAGCTTTGTTAATGCGCACAAATGCATGTGTTCAGCTTTCATTCCTGACTTTAAATTGACTTTTTTGATATTGGAGGACTTTTCCACACATTAATGTAGCACTTTTGAAACATTTCCTCGTACAGACACACAGTAATTTCATCTGGCAGCTGTGGTGCTTTCAGCCTTACTGTGTGTTACTCTTCATTTTGTGTTCTGACATCATAGTTTGTAAAGGTAGCCACTCTGCAGTCATTAGACTTGTCTATGTTTCAGATCTTTCATGTGAATATGACCTGAAACTGGTTCTCTTTGAAACCAGATAAAAATATCCTGGGTTTGTTGAACTCTGTTCACAGAGCAGGTCCCTGCTTTGGTATTTAAATAATCAGAAGTGCCCACATGGCCAGAATTTGTCACCTTTTTTTGTGCCAATGTAAATATTGTACAGATCATGAAAACACTGAAGTTCTGATGCTTGTGTGTCATCCTGTTCTGGTCTCATTCTGCCTGTTTGTATTTTAGAAAGCCGGCGTTTTGAATGGCGGTGGCTCCTGCCTCGATGGCAGATAAAATCATTGTGCTTGATGAGGAAGGCGAAGAAGAAGAGAGTCCTCAGCCCTCCTCCTCTGCCTCCAAATCAAGCCCTGACCTTCAAGCCAAAAATGTCTCGCCGCTCAAAGCTCAGCTGCCAGTGCCCACACACATTACCCAGTCACCCTTCGCTACAGCGAAGAAGACCACGCAGTGTCTGCAGGCAGAGAATCAGAAGTTGTTCACTGAGGTGAGTTTATATGATGTTCCAAAGTTCATGACCAGAACTTAAAATAATGACATTTATGCAGAAGTATTTCATGTGTATCAGACTTCAGATTGCTCTAAGTGCTCAGTTTTTCTGTCTGGGTGACATTGACTTAAAATCTTATCTGTGTGTTTTTAGGCTAATTGTTGAAACATGATATATTTAAATGTTGACTTTTAAATCAAATTAACAAGTAAGATGATCCATGTTTCCCAAATAATACTGTGGGAAACTCAGTGGTGTCATCAGTTAGTTCCTCATTGAACAGATCAACTCCACTCTTCTAGACTGCAGCTGGTGGTCTTTACCACACTGGGGGCCTGACCAGCCTGCAGGGGAAACACAGGAAGGTCCACAGCTTGCTGGTCACCAGTAACTCAGCTTTCAGAATAAGAGGGGATTGTATGGTGTTTAACCTGTTATATGTTGTCTCATAGTGATTCAGTAAATGCAAATTCCTGAGTACAGTCTAGTTTTGCAGAACCTTGTTCCATGGAGTTTATCCCAGCATGAGGCGAATTACTTCCTACAGCTCTCCTCCACTGGGTGCAAAACAATTTTATTAAAACAGTCATTAAAAAAAAACACGTTTAGTATTTGAAAGTTGGTAAGACCATTTTTGTATATTTCATTTTGATATATAAAAAACAACAACTATAATAAAATAACAATAAAATAACAAAGAAGAAAAAACTATAATAAAAATAACATTCAATTATTATTATTATTTTTAATTTGGCTTGTATGACAGTCTCATTAATAGTGACGGTTTTTTGTGTTTGTTTAAGAAATGAACTGATGGGTGGGTGAGGTTGATTTAGTTGGAGAGTGTACTGTGAGAGGATATAAACACTGGCATTAAATATGTATGTAATATTAAACTTTAGATCTAAACTTCCTCATTTAAATTACCTACTTATTTGAAAATATACAGATACACCCTATAAAGTCAATCCTGGGCCACTTTATACTGCAGATGTGTGTTTGTGTTAAAAAAGCACTGAAACCAGTCTTGCAACATCTGTCTTTTTCACTCCCTTGTTTTTCTCTTTGGTTCCTTATCCGTCATACTTTCTACTTTATCTCATCCTTTTTTTCTGTTTTCTTCCCTCCAGTTTGTGGAGCACTGCAGGCCCCTCACAGAGGACTGCCCGGAGGTCTTGACCTTCCTTCAGACAAAGCACTCCAAGGCCTGCCCGGACTTCCTGTCATCAGTGGAGTTGAGGAACACTTTGGGACGATGTTTGACTCGCGCTCAGGCCAACCGCTCTAAAACATTTGTCTACATCAGTGAACTGTGTACTGTGCTCAAGCAGCATGCCATCAAGAAGAGGCAAACCCTCTTCAAGGTTGACCATGGGCCTTCTACCTCAACGTCGAGTGATCTTCAGTCTACCTCCGTCACGCTCAAAAGTACAAGCAAGAGTAAAGGTAACCTGGACGAGGAGGAAGAAGGTGTGCAGCCGGCAGCAGATGAAGAGCAGCCTTCCACCTCAGGACAGCAAGAGAACAGAGAGGCAGACCGAGAAGAGGAGAGAAAAGCTAAAAGAGCCTCCAGGAAGCAGGTTAGTGTGGATTAGGAAAGTTGGAAAGTTTTATTTGTATACTGTATATTATATATACAGTTTTATTTGCACAGCACAATTTGCCTCAGTGTTTTTAATATGACTTCAATACAGTCATTTTAAAAGGGAAAAAGAGTAAAGCAGATCAAAGCACACTGGTTAAGGCAGCCATTAAATATAAACTATTAAAAATATAAAATATCCCTCCTTTTATTTTTCAGCAACAGTAAGGGTTTGACACTTTTTTGTAGGAAATGATCATTCATGTCTGTCCTGTGTGTTCCTCTCAGATAGCGTACCTGGAGAACCTGCTGAAGGTGTACAACGAGGAGATCTGCCGCCTGCAGCAGGCTGAGCTGAGTCTCACTGACATGGAAGCGGAGGACTCGTTATACATCCAGGAGCACAAACTCAAACGCAAGGTCAGCCTCCAGTGTGGTGCAGCTCGGTGGCTTCCATTCTCTAATACAGACATTAAAGCTGTAAAATGTAAATGTTTACGACAGCCTGAGTGGCAGCTGCTCACACCTCCCTCACGTGTCCTCCTCCTTTTTTTCCAGATGATGAAGATTTATGAAAAACTGTGTGAACTAAAGGGCTGCAGCACACTAACAGGCCGAGCCATTGAACAGAGAATCAGCTACAAAAGCACTCGTTACCCTGAGATCAACAGGAGGGTGAGCTGCACGTTGTTGGGGCTACTTTCTAACCCGAGGGGTGGATTAAGACGCATCTGCAACAGAACCAGGCTTTTTTTGCATTAACTGCCTCATTGAAACCAAATACAGTTATGATGACTGTGGTTCTAAACTTTGCCTGTTAACTCTGGTTTTACACTTCAGTCTCTGCGCATGCTCACATTTATGTGCTGCTTTACTCGTAGAAAATTCCAGGCAGACATTATCAGCAGAAGATTAAAGGGCTGTAAAGAAATCTTAAAATCAAACAAAAAACATTAAACAGCAAAGGCAATGCCGTGTTTATACACTGTTGAAAAAACATGACAGTAAAAAAAGCAAGGGGATGTCCAATAGTCCCGGTATAACACAAAGTCACTAAGGCCTCCTCATGTAACAGCTCGTCTCCCATGATCTCCTCCATACTTGAAACTATGCTGGGAGATGAAGCAAACCTCCTTATGACTGCATGTGTGGATGTGACATCATGGAGAAGCTGGACTGCCTGTGCAGCCTGAAGGTGCTGCTTCAAGCTGCCACCAGTGACAAAAAGCAAAACTAGAGAAAAGTCATTAAGGATGAGGAGACGGTCTGTGGCACCACGTCCTAAACCCTCACATCTCAGTCAGCGTGTTCAGCAGATTTATTTATACAGCGCCAAATCACAAAGACAACAGACAACCCTAACAATCATGTGACCCACTGAGCAAGTGCTTTGGAGATAGTGGGATGAATGCTATAACTTAAGAATGCAGTGACGTAGGATTTTAACATTTTTATAATAGGTGAAGTTAATAGGAGGCTGAGTGGGAGCTCTGATGGCGGTTAGTATTTTTCCGATTGCCTGAAAAGATGCCTCTCTAGTCCTCCGGTTGACACTTTCATTTGAAATAAAGCAGTTGAAATGGATTCACATCTGGACTGATTGATATTCCTTAATTTAAATGACTTGATCTTACACTGCAGTGATCCAGTGTTCCCTTCATTCTTTGAACATTTGTTGTTCTGCTCTGTGTGCTCTCAGGACTGCTGTTTATTTTGAGCTCTTCTGAACTCTGTAGCATTTAAACTTGATTCTAATTCAGGTCTGATGCTGTCGTATAATCTAATGAAACATTTGGGTTACATTTTAGTTCGTGACTAATTCAGATTTACTGCTAAAATATTCTTGGTTAAACTGATAAGGTTTCTAATTTAACATTAACTGTGAGCATCAGTGTAAAAGATATTAGGCCACAGATCAGGACCAAGCATAAAAACATTATTGGTTTCTTGCTGCTATTAATGGTTTCTGTCTGAGGTTTCTGAACTATTTGAAGTTCTTTATAAAACACAAACTGGCAGAAACACACAGCGATCACACAGAAGAGATTTGTATCTGTGGTTATTTAATTTCATGGAGCTATATTTTCATTCGAGTTTTGTCCTCTGTGTTCCTCCCTTTGTCAGATCGAGCGTTTCATCAACAGTCCCGAGGTACGACAAAACCCTCCTGATTACCAGGACATCCTCCAGCAGGTGTTGCGTGCCAACGATCGCCACAACCTCTGCTTGACCAGGAAGCATATAAACCAGATCGCCCAGGTGGCGTTCAGAGAGACCGGGAGCCGCATACAGGACCGCCGTCACCTGGACCTCGTCTACAACTTTGGCTCTAGCCTCACCGACACCTATAAGCCTGGTAAGATAATAAAGAGAAATGCTGCTGCTCGTGCGGGGCTTCACTGTCTGACTGCACACTGAAGTGTTTCTACTCACAAATCTGATCGTCGATTTGAATTAAAATATGAATATTTGTTCATTAATTTACTTTAACGTTTGCTCCACACTTTCATTTCCTCACTGCTGACATTTTTGCTCTCATCCTCTTGTCTCTCCGCCTCCCTCTTTAGCCACAGACCCAGCTCTGAAGGACCCATCACTACTGAAGAAACTGCGGTTGAACCGAGAAGTTGCTCTAACTAGCCTGGAGGAGGTCATCAAGAAGTACGCTGTGAAACAGGACGACACGGAGGAGAAGGAGAGGAGCAAACGACTGCAAAAAGACAGGAAGGACAAAGAGGTAACAGAGGAACATCATCACAGTGATAGGTTTGTAGCTTAAACCTATTCGCTGGAACGTTGAAGACAATTTAATTACACAGCAAAGTAAGACACGAGTAGGCAAAGTTCTCTATGTTCCTCGTGCACGGGAGAGAACTGGACAAACGCCGTTCCTTCGCTTGACCCCAGTTGCTCTCGTCCGCTCCCCCGTAACACTGCTCTTTTATTGAGGTTACATGAATATACATAGGTTCATTAACATATGACGTCTACCTACACACAAAGAGTACCTTGCCTGTGCGTTGTGTAAGTGTGTGTGTGTGTGTGGGGTCAGAGTGTGACCCGATAAGCGACTTCCCTAAACCTGCTGGTCTGGAAGTCCAGCAGTTCATCTAAACAAAAGGCACTTAGACTAAAACAGACATAGCTACGTTTATCCTACCACAAAACAATAAAAGAAGGTACGACCTCTCCCATGCTCCCAGGATGTGGGTGTGAATGCCAGAGCACTCTGGAATGCACACAAGTCTTTGCAGACTATTAGCTATTAACACTATTAACTATGACATTGATTATAAAACTCTAAGCATATATGAGTAGATATTTCTAAACATAAATGACAATCAACAATATAAACCTGACACACAGCTGTTTGGTTTTATTTTTATGTGTGAAAACATTAGATTTTATGTCTTTCTGTTTTTCTGAGAGGTCGTTCTCCGTCACGATGGGAAAATATTCCTCTTCTTCTGCCCGTCTCCGCTGTGGTGTGCCCCAGGGCTCGGTACTGGGTCCTGTGTTGTTTTCTCTGTATATGTTGCCCTTGAGCTCCATTTTTGAAAAACACAATGTCTCTTTTCACTGTTACGCTGATGATATTCAAATCTACCTTCACCTGACTGGAGATGCTTTATCCTCACCACATCCTCTGTTTGACTGTCTGAGTGATGTCAAGGACTGGTTATCACGTAACTTTCTTACTTTAAATGGAAAGAAGACAGAAATTATTGTTTTTGACCGAAATATGCCTCTGGGACAATTGACTGACACATTTGGACCTGTTGCTAACTACCTTACTGATACTGCCAGGAATCTTGGAGTTTTCATGGATAGTTCCTTCAAACTTGACAAACAGGTCTCTACTGTGGTAAAAACTAGCTTTCATCAACTACGCCTAATCTCTAAGGCTAAACCCTACATACCACACAAAGATATGGAGAAACTCATTCATGCTTTCATTACGTCAAGTCTGGACTATTGTAACTCACTCTACTTGGGTCTACAATCTTCTCTTCTGCAGCGTCTGCAGCTGGTCCAGAATGCCGCAGCACGTCTCTTGACCGGCACTAGAAAGTTTGACTCTATCACCCCTGTTCTGAAAAATTTACACTGGCTTCCTATCAAATATCGAAATATTTTAAAATTCTATTGTTTACTTATAAAATTTTAAACAATATGGCACCTGACTACTTAGCTGATCTCCTCTGTCTGTACAGCCCTCAGAGAGCACTAAGATCATCGGGCCAACTGCTCTTGGTGCAACCTAGGTCTCGGCTGAAGACCAGAGGAGACCGTGCCTTTGCCGTTGCTGCACCCAGGCTATGGAATACTCTCCCTCTTCATATTCACGCGTCAGATTCCATTCAGTCTTTTAAATCACGTTTAAAAACGTATTTGTTTGATCTGGCATTTAAGGCGAATTAGGGTAATTTAGATCTGGCTCTGTATTTAGATTATGTAATTATCTTATATTTTATATATTTGTAATTTATATTTTATTGTGATTTTATTTGTACTGCGATTTTACCAGAAAGCACTTTGGTGTACTTTGGTCTTAAAAATGTGCTATATAAATAAATTTTGATTGATTGATTGAACATCAGTCTGCTTTATTTCTTAAAAAGAATTAAGGTCAAAATTTGTGGTACATCTTGTGTATTGAATAGCAATATATTTTACAGTTTAATCTTATAAAGCAGAGGAAGAAAGTATTTTAATCATACAGGACTGTAAAAGTACCAAAGTAAAGAAGTAAAAATTTAACTCAGGTTTTACCTTTTCTATTTATTTATGTTCTGATGAGGTATGTTGGAGTTAATAAATAAAAAAATTGTCAATGTCAGTAAAATTTGCTGGCTCAGAAATATAAAATACATAGTGGGGAGGAAAAATTGTAATGTGACAAAGAAAAACATTTATAAACCTGTGAGTCGTGTTTGGGGGAAAACAAAGAAACTGGAGTGTTTATTTGTTTCACTTAATCCCAAAAGTTTTGTCTCATATTAATCTGAAATTATGAGACTATAAAAGATTTTAGTTTTGTGCTTGTTTGTGCGATCGTGCCTCAAGAGTTGGCAGTTTGTCTTGTAATCGGAAGGTTGCCGGTTCGAGCCCCGACTTTGTCGTTGTGTCCTTGGGCAAGACACTTCACCCATTGCCTACTGGTGGTGGTCAGAGGGCCCGGTGGCGCCAGTGTCCGGCAGCCTCGCCTCTGTCAGTGCGCCCCAGGGTGGCTGTGGCTACAATGTAGCTGCCATCACCAGTGTGTGAATGGGTGGATGACTGGATGTAGTGTAAAGTGATTTGGGGTCCTTAGGGACTAGTAAAGCTCTATACAAGTTCAGGCCTTTTACCATGTGTTTGTGTTCTGAATCTTGTTTAATTTCCTTTGCTGCGTTTCAGGGCCACACGTCAGGAAAAAAAGTGGAAACTGAAGAGATGAATGGCGTGTCTGAGGAGGAGGAGGAAGAGGATGAAGATGATGAATCCTCAGATCCAGACATAGAGGAAGAGATCCAGGCCAGCACTCAGCAGGCTGGACCAGGTTAGACCAAATAAATGTGGTTATATTGAAGCAACATATTGGCTGACAAGCATCAAATTAGATATAAATCTAATTTCATTGTTCACCACAAAAGCTGCATGTATGGAACACAGGAGTTTGCATCTAGGTAACTGCCCTCTGCGGTCTGTACCAGGATCTAAATATTCTTATTTTATGAAAACATAACTGAGTTTCTGAGATTTTAAGACACCGCTAGGACTGCTGCTAAGGTTAGCCACACTGTGCTGATAATGTGTAACGTATGATTTAATCATTGAACAGAATGATTAACAATTTAATGTGACTCATAAACACACAGAGAATTCATACAGACAATGTTTAAACTCATCCGTCAGATTGGGCTCAATTAAAGACTGTTTTTCTTCCCTTTAGGCTGTTATTTAGTCTGTTTTTTTTCTCCCTTTTAAACAACGAATACATTCATACAGTCAAATAAGTGTTATCAGATTTCAAAAACTGTGACCAGATGAAGGGGGCAGAGATAAGAGAAGAAAATATTTATGTGCCTTTTTTGCTTCTTTCTTTAGATGAAGAAGACAACGAGGAAGACGACATTAACGAGGTGGAACAAGCGAGCGAAGGCACCAACAAGGAGGATCAGAACGATGATCAGATTGCACACGTTTCTGCAGGCGAAGAAGGAAGCTTGAAAGATGAGGACGAGCAGGTTACGAGTCCTGCTTCTGATGAGACAAAGTCCCAGATCTCGCCGCTGTCTGATATCCCCTCCCCCGCAGAAAGCCCCAGCCAATCAGAGCCCATGCAGACTGATGACCAGAGGCCGTTATCGAATGGTGACCACAAGAGCTTACAGGAACCTGCAGATTCTTCCAGTCATGAGTCAGTCGTCCTGTCAAACTACAACCAAGGCAAAACGGGCCTCACAGCAGCAGCCAATGGGAAAGCATCTCCGTCATCGCCAGAAGACGGCATGGAAAGGTGCGGCACGCAGACAAGCAATGGCACGTCTCCACCGCCCAGCCCCAGAACCACGAGGAGCCAGAAGAGGAAGTGGGAGGAAAGCAACTCGCAGAGTAGAAAGAACCTAATCATCCACGACAGGTGAGGCTGTCACTGAGAGGTCAGGAGTCCACGATGAAAATGTGTTTGTGAGATAATTAATAATACAAACAAACAAATAATGACTTATTTCTCAAAGTCAATGTGAATGTATTTGATGCTCTTTAGCTTTGTAACTTTTATAACTGTTCAGAAGGCAGAAGCAGGTGTTATAATGTGTTTATAGTAATATTTAAAACTGTAGGAGAGCAGCATGGAGGCCTGCTGCTCTCAGGAGGAACAGTTTTACGCCTCCACCGTGAAAAGCTGATGAGGCTTTGTTTCCACTCTGCCGGGCGGCGTGAACACGATAGTTCAAGATCGACGCAACGGAGCATTTTCAATTTGAAACCATCAGTGCGTCTACTGGGACGCTGAGGCCTTTCACCTTTTGAATACGATGAACTTAAATAGTTTTAATAAACAGAATGTGAAAGGTTTGACTAGTTTTTAATTAAATAACCAAATTTGTGTCAGGATGAGAAATTCAGGCTTAATTAAACTTCTTGGTGGTGATTTGACCTCAGAATAAGTGTGGCAGTGTGCAAACACTCATGTTTAATTACCAGTGAGGTAACAGTTGAACTGGAAATTAATAATGGTATCCTAAGACGAGCTCTAAAATCATTTCTCTTGCTTGTATCAAGAGTTACCAGATCATTTCTGTTGTGTTCATCACTTCATAATCTGAGACTCTCACTGACTGTGTCTAATAGACGAGGCTGCATTGAAATGTGTGACTTCTTTGAAAATGTCCAGTTATCGAAAATCCTGCTCTCATTTAAATTGTAGTTTCAGCTCTTTGAACTTGAGTTCATGGTTTTATTTCTCTGGGTTCATTTATTCTCTGTATGTTTGTTGATCTTGGCTCTTTCATTCTCCTCAGCGATGCGGACATCCCTCTGGATATGGGCGTTGTGACCTACAACTCTCCAGAGACCACTCGAGCAAACACGCCAACGCAGGAAGTGGTCAGCAGCTCGCAGTCGACACCGCCACCGAAGAAAAACAAGGTGGGGCAAATAGAGTCATACCAGAGGAGCTGAGTTTCAGGATAGAAACGATGCAGTGAGGACGACACTTTGAATAAAACACCTCACGTGTCTGAATTTACAGTTATTTTGTCATTTTGACAAACTGTATCAACACAATGGACCTAAAATAACACACAAAAATAAAACCTCAAAGTGGTGAAAAGTGAAATAGGTTTTGCAAAATATATTTAAATGTTTAACAAATAATTTTTATAGCTTGAAGTCTAAATATACATACATGTAAAAAAAAAAAATTTCTTTTACAAATTTTGTAAACAGGTTTATCCAACTACTTACATTCAGAAGTGTGTATCTGTTCACACAAATTATTTGTGCCACTCTGAAAACTAGTTCCTGTTGCCCACAAGACAGAGGGGCACATCACAGGCCTGACAACAGGATGTGTATCACTCCTCCTGTTGTCCACCTGGAGACGGTGTTTACATTGAAGGCTGCCTTTGGTGTTTTTTTTTGTCCAGCTGTAGCTGCGTCGTTGTTTTGACAGACACACAGAAAAAACCCCACTTCACTCCAAACGAGCTTAATGCCACAAATCTCAAAAATTGCTGTTCTCGCAGCCATTTTCTCAAAACTTTCGTCTGTTACTAAGCAACCAAATGGTGTGTTGCCATATAATTTTGTTATAGGCTGACAAGGTGAATTTTTCCATGAATAGTAAAGGGCGTTGAAAAGCATGGCGTGAATTATCATAACTCTGGTGTTATTTGGCCTCTCAACACTAAAAACTGGAACGTAGTTGAAGTCTTCACTTTTAACACAAGTTAACAACTGAGGCTCAGCGAGGGTGCGTCTTGTTGCCACGTCACCTTAAATTGGTCATGTGATGTGGACACACCGGTACATCTGTCAGCAGCATCAACATGTTTTTAAACAGAAGTTTTTATTCTGCTGATACTCAGTGTTTCTCCAGAAGAGTAAATACTTTGTTATGCTGCTGTTTGTGTGTTTTCAGGTCAACGTGGCGACACCAGACGAAATCATCGTCCTGTCAGACTCCGATTGACCTTTAACCTCTGAACTCTGACTAGTCATTTACAGCAGAGGAAGTCTGAGGTTTGAAGCAAATAAAAGCCAACACAACTGTTTTTGTAAAGAACTGGAATGAAATGTTTGTGATTCAATGTGTATAAACGCCAGCTGAGGCAGCAGGTTCTGGGATGCCCCTGCTGTGCACTACAGAATAAAGTTTTCATTTGATCCGAGCAGGGAAACTCGAGCTGACGCTGACCTCGGCTGCTTCTTGCACTTTGGGTACAGAAACTAACCGCCACTCATTGTGTCGCTAAAAATAGTGAAATACATTCTGTTTTTTTACTGCTCTGAAGCTGAAAATACTTCACTGGGATTCTTTTTACTCGACCTGAACGCTGATTTGTGGTTGGTGTGTTTTTAGGTAACAATCAGTGCCTGATTAAAATTGAACTGAGCAGTCAGACGTGAGGCCCAGATGTTGAATTTCACTGGACATGGCTGCTCTGGCAAACTTCCAGTTTGTTTACATTTTTATATTTCAAATCTGTTTTCTTGACAGAGCAGGCGGTGAGGTGATGTTCTCTATTAAAGTCTTTCTATTGATGTTGTTTTATTTGCTGCTATTTATGATCTGAGCGAGCTGTGCCGTGGTTTCAGTTGCAGCAACGACAACAGGAAAACATTTACACTGCTTAGATGTTTCCTCTCACAATTTCGATTCAAAATGAATTCGGTTAAAAGGTTTAAAATAAAGTAATTTACCTACTGAGGCAGGTGCTGGTGAGGCTGCAGGAACAGCTACAGGAACGGAAACGCTGAAAGTTCTCTTAGCAAACCCCACAAAAAAGCAATCCCCCACCCCCCCCAAAAAACTGCAACAAAGTCTTCCTGCTTAAACATGTTGTTGTGCTGCATCACTCACAGGAGACAAAAGCATTAATCTGAACTAACCAAATCACTTTTGAGTCATTTGTGGGACTTTTGTTGATTTAAAAACTAAAACACACCAGTGAGCCACAATTTTCAACCTTTTGAGGATTTTAAAATAATGCTACACTCACAGAATGTATTAATCCTCGTCTGAAAAGTAGTTCTAAACAAATCCACTCCTCCTTTTGGAGTAGCGTATGCTGAAAACTACATGCCCAGCTGTTTTAAGAAATAACTGCATATTTATGAGCCTCATTTCCAGCCGTCTCTAATCATAACCAGCAGTAAAGCGCAGGAAGTTATGACGCGTACCGCTTGTCGAGGGGTAAGCAATATAAATAACAGCAGTCTTATCTTTAAAGCGGTCAAATTTCATCCCAAGACAGACGAACTCTACCTCTGCCCGCAAGTGTGCGTAAAAGATGGATGTAGTCGACATCATCCATTTGTTCCTTAAGTCCTGATATGTCGAGCTGAATGTTTTGGCGAGGTCACGCTGAACCCCCTTTAGGTAGTGACCTGTCAATCATGAAGTAGGCCTGTTTTTCACCGGGTGCATTTGTTTGTCCTCGTTTTTCTAACGAGGATCATAATTTACTAAATAAACGTCAAATTCAAGAAGACCCAAAAGCAGCGACTGAGTCCATAAAGTCTTAACAGCTCATAGGTCGATGCAGATTTCTATAGGCTGACATCTTTGCAAGTAATCGCTCCCTGCTGGCCGTTAGAAAGATTACATGGTGCTTCCACGCTGGCTTTACTGTTATTATACAGTAATAACAGTCTGAGCGCCTCTGCGTGATAACCACGTTCTTTCTTCCTGCTGCCAAAGCTCACCTCAGCCAAAACTAAACATGAACACAAAGATCACTGCAGGTCTGGTGACTCTGCGTTTGGGTCCCTTTAGAGATCCTGAACACCTTTAATTATAAATACATTCTGTACTTTATTCAAGGTTTGTTTTGTCTTTTGTGTTTTTGTTCTCGTGTCGGTGCACTGGGCATTGCGGAAAATTGAGAAATACTTTTTAAAAACCTTTGTTGGGTTGTTTTTTTGTTTGCTTTATGCAGGCTTGGAGTTCAATTGTTTTTTTTTCTTTTCTTTTTTGTAGTAGCAGATCGCCTCACAGGTGAAACGATGATATTTTGGGGTAAAAGCTCTTTTCAGAGTTAATAAAATGCCTGGAATGTTACCTTTGCTGCGATCTATTAGGCCTCATTTATGCAGAGGAACGTTTCGTCATTCACTATGAATTTGTTCATTTTTTTTTTCATTTTTGATATTAAAATAAATACTTTTGTCATAAAAGACTCTGCTTCTGATTTTTACTTGTAGAATTAAAATATTTTAATGTCAGTTTTTCAAAAGCTGCAGATTGGTTTTTATGTCTTTCTTTCAGGTACTTTATCAGCTGGTTTATGTCATGGCGTTAGCTCAAACCCACAGATGTTGCTTCATGTTGTTTGCCCCTTGAATAATTTACAAAAATCAGAATGTTCCATTTAGTCTTTAACAGCTTCACTTAATTATGAAAGCAGTGCAAATAATTGTTCTGTATAATGTTTCAGAGGAGTGGTGTAATATTCAATGTAAGAAACAAATTATTAAATTATTATTAAATTATTAACGTAAAGCAGCAGAAAAAACATGAAAAGAAAGATCGAGAGACAAACGTCTTCTCCTGGACAGGTGAGCTGCTTCCTTTTCCCATGATGCCTATTGTTACACCCTACTTAAAAGCAAGGTTGTATCTGGGGTGGGGTGTGACACAAAGTGAAAAGAAAACTATTAACTGCCACAAAGTTAACGTGGCAGTTAAAACTATTTCACAACCAAACGACCCAATGAGGCCCAAAATCCACTGTGGTTCACAATTATCTCTGTAAAGGCACACCTTTTTTGCCCGAACCACTGTAGCACATCCCAGAGAAAAGCAAAGGAAAAGGGGGCGTGGCATTTTGAGGCGGCAGTCTTGATGCAGTGGCTGACGAGCTGCACCACATCTCAGTTGTGCTTATGAGACAGACCTGGAACACAGAAGGAGGAGAAAGAGCTCTCTCACACAGGGAGAGCCCCTAGAGGTCAGCGACCAAAACACCTATCAACAAACGTATCTTTGCTGTATGTGGCTAATAGCTTAGCATTCTGCTAACTATGATCACTAGAGTCTCGAGCTTCACTTGTACAGAGACGCCAATAATAAAGTTTTTCCTCAGCTGGTTTCTCACCATGTGGGGAAAATCGATTTAAAACATGAACATGTTGGTGGTGCGCAGAGAACTTCTGTTTCAGATGGAGTTTTGTCCTCACCATCACTGTGAGGAAAAATTATATCTCAGGATGTGAAAAAATAACACAATTTAGTTTCATCTTTAGGAGAAAAGTGAGGGAGCCGGACCCTAGATAAAGTGTCTCAGGTACATGGATGCAACGAGTCAGTCATACGAGGTAGTGGTGTAGCTGGTGGACGGTTTTGTGTCTGTGTTAAAATGAGACCAAACCTACACCCCGTTTAGCTCCTGGTTGATTCGGAGCTTCATCAGTCTGCGGAGCAGCTGATGTTCTTTCCTGTGATAAATGACTTTCTCACGTGAGTCGTCATGTGCTTTTTCACATGTGTGACGTTATAAAATCTTTCCCCACACAGCGAGGAGCTGAAAGCTTTCTCTTCAGCGTGACTCTTCAGATGCTGTTTGAGACTCCGGCTGTGAGTAAATCTTCTCCCACACTTGGAGCAGCTAAAAGCTTTTTGTCCCGTGTGGATCAACATGTGAGAATTGAGGTCAGCGTTGCGGCCGAATGTTTTGCTGCACCTGGAGCAGCTGTAGGGTTTTTCTCCCGTGTGGATGCACAGGTGTTGTTTCAGATTCCCGCTGTGTGTGAACGTTTTACTGCAGAACTTGCAGCTGAATGGTTTCTCCCCCGTGTGAGTCCTCCGGTGGTTTATTAGCGTTGTCTTGTCTTTAAAGCTTCGTCCACACTCAGAGCAGCTGAACGGTTTCTTTTCCGTGTGAATCCCCATGTGTCTCTGCAGGTTTCCACTGTCCACAAATCTTTTTCCACACTGAGAGCAGCTGACAGGTTTCTCTCCTGTGTGGGTTCTCAGGTGTCTGCTCAGATTTCTGCTGTGACCAAATTTTCTCCCACAGACAGAGCAGCTGAATGGTTTCTCATCAGCATCACCTGATGCCCGAGGCGCTGCAGGTTCACGGCTCTGCTCACACTCATCAGAATCACTGACGTCTGTGTCTGAAGAGCCTGAAGTTTTCCCGTCAGGCTGTAGATCTGGATCAGGCTCTGGTCCTCCCACAGAGTCACTGACCTCCTCAGTCCGTCTGTGATAAAGCTGTAAGGATTCAGGTTTCTCTTCACCCTCCTCACTCTTCACAGGGGCAGGGCTGGAAGTGAGCTGGGCGATGACAACCTCCTCCTGTTCGTCTTTAATGTCTGGGTCCTCCCGGTCCATACTGGAGCTCCACTCCTGCTCCTCTTTTTCACCAATGACCACTTTTTGGACACCCAGAGGTAAACCTGAAACACAAACATTAATATTGAGTTCATTTTGTCCTGAAACCAGAAAATTTTCACAAAGTGACAGTTACTTTTTGTGGATAATGAACATATTTTTACATGACCATGACAATTAATATGACTTTTAGGGGTATATATATATATATATATATATATATATATATATATATATATATAGCTCGTATTTATTCAGGACTTGTTTTCAGTTGATCAGCTTTTCTCCTGTCTCCTCACCTGCTCTGTGCGCTGGTGGGAGGAGCTAAGTGGAGGTGACATACCATCAGAGAGAAGCTAGCGTCATGCTAGTGTTAGCTTATCATCAGCAGCGAATCTGTTTCCAGCAGCAGCAATAAAACTCACCTTCTTTTCTCGGTTCCAGTTCCATCTTTAAATCAACTTCCGGTGGTTCACAGTGTCGGGCCACCTATATGTGTACTTTTAAGGAAAAAACGACACAGTAGGAGTAGGTATTGATTTATAAATACTACTGTGTTTGTAAACTAAGCTGTAGTGTTTGCACAAACCAAACACTAAATAAGAACTCATCACTGTGCAATAGACATTTAGCGGAACCTAGTTCTATCTAACTGTCTGTATGTCTCTAACTAACTTGGCAGCCTGTTCTCTTTGTCTTGATAATACTTTCTTTAACGATTGAAGACATTTTGGGGTCAACGTAAAAGAAAGGCAGATGTGAAATGTAAAATTTAGGTCAGAGGTTAAATGTGACAAGGTTTCTATTTATTGACAACAAACACTTCCAAGAGTCATAGTTTCTGAGTTATAAGGCTTTTTGTCAGTTGTTTGTCAGTCCTTTAAGAGTCTCTAAAAAAGCCGATGTTTCAAGACTTCCCCCGTGTCCTTAGACATGTTTTAGGTTTCATATCTTTCAATATCAAAACCAATCCTACAATGTCAGTAGGTAATGAATCAGTAAAACATTGTGTCTTTTACAACAGGATAGCAGTGTGTTCACCCTGCAGTGTTTGGTCATAAAGTACATTTTTGTTATGTCCTGTCCAGCTTTTGAAGGACATATTTTGCTCATCATTAGGCAAGATTAATTTATATTTTCTGAGCTATTAACTGGAATTACAGGTTCTAGAACAAAGTTGTAGTTTATTTTGTGAATACAGCAAAGCAAAAATGTGCTCAGTGTCACTCTTCAAAACACCAGGAGGAAATATTTAACAAATTAACCAAGTCAAAAAAAGCAAGCTCTGTGCAGTTTGGAAAGGCCCAGAGCCAAAACATTTGTCACTAACTGAGAGAATCATCACACAGATGCTACAGGCAGGACCTTTCAAAATAAAGCTCCAAGTGGCAGCACTACCAGGTAATCCAAACTCAAAGAGATTCTAAGAGTCAGAACAGGTTCATTAAACATTGAAAGAGATTAAATAATTTTAATTATTTTCTATTAAATAAAGAATCAAAAAACCTGATAGTCTGTCATCATCAGTCCACCTGACAGGTGTCTGACTGCAGTTCCTGACCCAAGCGCCCATAAATAACAAGTAAGGAGAGAGAATGTGCTGGTTTCTCAGTGACAAACTACATTTTTTCAGTAAAATAAATGAATAAAAGCCTCCACCAGGACCTTTGAGCGTGACGAAATATTTTATGGAAGAAAAGAATCTACACCAGGAGACCCCAGAGGAGCGGACACTGAGGAGTACACGCCCTTCACCTTCAGCTACAGGGACTAGCTGCTACTGGCAACTGTTGTCCAGATTCAGTGATTCACCTGCTTATTACTAGGGGTGGGTTTTTATAATCAATTTATCAATTAAAATCGATTCTGGCTTGGATAACGTGAAATCGATTCATTAAAATCCTGAATCGATTTTTTAATATAAATTTATTTTGCCCGAAATGCCAGAATCTCAGGTGAAACCTCACAAAATTTCAACAACCACCAAACAGCTAAGACAGTAAATGAGAGCAGAAACACGGATTCTGCACAAAGATGTAAACACACAGTGCGGAATCGTGGATCGAATCGATTCGGGACCTTGTGACTCGGAAACGAATCGATTCTAGAAATGAGTGACGATACCCAGCCCTAGTTATTACTCAGTTATTTGATTACAGGTGCTTCATACGGTCTTGTTAATGTTTTATTTGTTTACATGTTTAGATGTGTGAACGAAGCTGTTTGCATGACCTTTGGCCTCTGAGAAAAACATCTTTACAAAAACCGAGTAGCCGTTTGTATTCTTTATTATTTTTTAATTTAATGCATGTTGATCATTTATTTATTTATTTATTTTTACAAAAAAAACTCGTCGTATTTAGTCAAGGGTTTGGTTTTTGGCGATCAGCTTTTCTCCTGTCTCCTCACCTGCTCTGCGCGCTGGTGGGAGGAGCTAAGTGGAGGTGACATACCATCAGAGAGGACCTAGCGCGATGCTAGCGTTAGCTTATCAGCATCAGTGAGTCTGTCTCCAGTAGCGGGGAGTAAACTCACCTTCGTTTCTCGGCTCCAGTTCCGTCTTTAAGTCAACGTCCGGTGGTTGACAGTGTCGGTCCAGCTCAGCTCTGTCCACAGAACCGGACTTTGGAGGACTTTCTGGATCCATTTGCTAACCGAGCGCATAATCAAGTCCACTAAAATAAGCGCTGCCACTTCCGGGAAACATTTCAAAATGAAATGATAACAAGCAGACAGATTTACTTCCGATATGCTCCATCAAAATAAAAAATTTTATTTTGGAGTCAATCCCTTAGGTAAATTACCTTTACCTAAATGTAAAAGTCATATTTGCTCCACTCTAGCATCTACAGTCCTGTCCTATTACACTGCAGTGCTCCACTACCTGGTTTAGTCACTCAGGTAGGTAAATCAGAATCCCTAAATGTTCCTCTGACACAATGAGATAGAGAGTCACACATTTCACCACTCTACCACACACAGAAACCATAATTCAAGTGAAAAATAATATGATTTTTGCAAATGTAATGAAACTTTTTTTGCGTTTGTTAGTGTCCAAGAATAATCAAAGTGAATAATCAGAGATTTCAATCTAATCCACCCGTTTTAGGGCGAATTCTTTAGTCATCAAACATGAGGCAAAGGCTCGGGCGTTAAAGGAATTAAAGAACAAAGCATCTGTGACAAAGCAGATAAGATGAAAACCATCGAAACATTATTTATTAATTAATATTAGTTCAGTGTCTTCATCACATAGAGGCAGCTCACCAATTCATTCAGCCCTTAAAGTAGCATTATTCAGTACACATACTAGAAAATCACATTGCTACTACACCGACCTGCACACAATGCAAACTGGTAATAGAGTTGTTTTGAATGGATCGTTAATATAACACCACTTGACAGCCCCACATGCGTGGCACTGTGTAAAAACTGATAAAAGCAGAGCCATTGCGGTAATGACACAATGAGAAAGTAAAAATTATGTGGGATGTTGTGAAATTGTGATGTGCTCATCATTAAGAAAGATTAATTTATATTTGCTGAGCTTTTAACTGGAATTACAGGTTCTGATAAAATCTAGTTAATGTTTACAAAGTGCTACATCAATCAACTATTCTTAAAATATTTAACCCACATAAAGTGAGTTAAAGAAGAAGCAACATTACTCGTGACTGCAGGATTGAGTGGTTTAACACAACAAGATAGAGAAGAGGAAAACTTTCCTGTGCACCAAAACAACACTGATCTCAGTCGATGATGTTCCAGATGTCTAAGGGTAAGGGGAGAGAGACTGCAGCATTACAAAAGCATCCTGTGAAAGTCTAGAACAAAGTTGTAGTTTATTTTGTGAATACAGCAAAGCAAAAATGTGCTCAGTGTCACTCTTCAAAACACCAGGAGGAAATATTTAACAAATTAACCAAGTCAAAAAAAGTAAGCTCTGTGCAGTTTGGAAAGGCCCAGAGCCAAAACATTTGTCACTAACTGAGAGAATCATCACACAGATGCTACAGGCAGGACCTTTCAAAATAAAGCTCCAAGTGGCAGCACTACCAGTTAATCCAAACTCAAAGAGATTCTAAGAGTCAGAACAGGTTCATTAAACATCGAAAGAGATTAAATAATTTTAATTATTGTCTATTAAAAACAGGATCAGAAGACTTCCTGATAGTCTGTCATCATCAGTCCACCTGACAGGTGTCTGACTACAGTTCCTGACCCAAGCGCCCATAAATGACGAGTTATTTATAATATTTTGTAGTAAAAAATAAATAAATAATTACCTTAAGATTGAAATCAGGTGTGTCTGGCTGTTTTTCTTCAAATGATCCTGAAATAAAAATAAGCCAAAGTTAGAAACATTGATGTTGATGAAGTAGTTATAGGCAGAGGCGGAGCCAGACATTTGAAACACCCGGGGCTTAGCCCTGAAGGGTAGTATGCATGTGGATTTTTTTTTCTTTTTTCTTTTTTTTGGGGAGGGGGGGGGGGGGGGTGTAGAAATGACTGAAAGATTAATTGGCTCTGTTTTGAGTTTTGTTCAAAAAAGAATGACTTCATATAGGGAAAAAAAGATATCACATATACAGGACACCTTAAACTAATTTTTTAATTAAGCAGCAAGGCAGAACAAGGTCAGGGCTGCATCAAGGACTAAACCCCAATTCAACCAGACCCAGAACTGATCCGGAATTAAAACAGGACTACAAGAGTTCAAAATCAGGACTACTTAGGATTTAACCAAGACAGAACCAGAATCAGAACTAGATGATAGTAGCACTAAAAATCATCATAGACCTGCACTACACTTATTTTTTAATTCTACCAAAGTACACTATGTAGATTCACAAAAGTTTATATAATTATTTAGCCTTGTTGTGCAAACAAGCCTGCATAACTTAATAAATATAGAATTTGAAAAATAACAAACCTAAAAAGAAACACTAGGTACGAGATACATGAGTACCTATCATACAGTGATACTTTTGGTAAACAACCATTTGACTAACATGTGTGTCTCACCTGCTCTTGTTCATCTCTGTTCTGTCCTGTCTCCTCTCTCTCCCTCTCTGTTCCTCTCTCTCCCTCTTTGTGCTGACAATCATCAAATATACAGTTGAAACCAGATATTTACAAACTCTTCAGATAAAAACACAACACTTTTATAATTGTAACATCAAATCAGACTAAATGTTTATTTTTTTAGATTGATAAATATAAAAAACATATTTGTTAACTTTAAGAGTAAAGAGAGAAACTGTCTGTATTTCTTAATTGCAAATGGCACCAAATTGTATTCAAACTGAGCCACACTTATGGAGCTCCACAATTCTTTTCCTGGTGTTTTGGTTGACATCTCTTGATTTTCCCATGTCACAGAAACAGGCTCTGTGTTTTGCCTTATATGCATCCACAGCTGTGCCACCAATTTACTCACATGGACTCTACGAACCAATCAAAAGCTTCTTCAGCTCAGAATGGAATCATCTGGAGTTTCTTATTAATTAACAAACTTAGTGTACATGTACTCCTACATTTGATGAAAGTGATAAAAAATAGAAGCTCTGTCTCTCTTTATTCTGACATTTAACTAATTCAAAAGATATTTCAATATTTATCTAAAACAAAAGTTTACTCTAAATTGATGTTGTACAGAAAAAATTTTTATGTTTTCTCCCTAAAGTGTATGTAAATATCTGGTTACAAATGTGAATATCCTGCTGTGTACTGAAATCCCTCTTGTTTTGCATAGAAATATACTGAACAACATACAAAGCATAATATATAAAATAACATTTACCTGAGTTTTTTCTTTGAAAGAGGCCTCTAATGTCCATTCTTATATTTCAGTACATAACTGAAACCGATTTAGTCGGGGAGGGTAAGAACTGAAAATATGAAATAAACACACATAAGATAAGACTCTATTAAAAAAAAAAAAAGCATTTGTTCAGCTTTTCATTTCGCCATTTGTTGATTCACTTGAAGAGCAAGTAACGTAATATTGGTCAAGTGATCAGTTTGATATCAATCTTTCGTGATTCACCGTCATTTGTACGGTATGAATGGTTTGCTTTGGTACCTGGTCAAACTTAAGCTCTCCTTAGTATGGCTGGCTCCGTTACTCCAACAGCGCACTCACAGGCACAAGAGCACCTGGCTGCAGCCCGCCCTCTCGCTCAGTTGCTTAGTGCCTGAGCTCGGATCATACCAATATCAGGGGGATTCACGCACAGTCGTAAATTCCCACTGTGTGCATTATGTGCTTCGAATATTGTGTGTACTTTTTGTTTTATACAGTTGTCAGCCAGGCATCTAACTATGAAAAAATTACACTCCAAAAGACCCCGGGCTTCTGACAAAACAACCCGGGCTTAAGCCCAGTAAGCCACCCCCACGCTCCGCCCCTGCCGGTGACAAACATTTACCTGAACGATCTGACGGCAAGTAAGAGACACTTACCTAAGAAAGATCTGTTTGTTTTTTCTATAAACAGTGGATTTACATGGTTTTACTTTGATTTAAGGACATTTGGCGACAGTGTCCAAACACCAGTTCTCTACTAAAACTGAATCAGACAGTTTGGGAACACCAAAACAGCAAAGGTGAGTAGTGACCACATTTGAGTCTTAAAGCCGTTATTGACGATTTTACAAGCGCTCTTTAAACGACTGTAACTCGGAGTCTTATATATCCTTTATTAATGCAGTTAGAAAAAAGTCCAGGCGGCTTAAATGATGCTTGGTCAATAAAGGGTTAATTTTATTTAAATAACTTAACTTTAGTCTGACATTTAAAGTGTCTCACATCCAGCTCCAGATGTGGACACCTGTCAGTGCAAATCAGGGTCAGCTGATGTTAAATCACACAGTCAAAGATCTTTTGGTAACAGCCAGTTAAATATATTTATTTTTCACAGCAAAAAGCTCCGGTTTGAATGAGAAGGCGGCATTCTTCTTTCACTTTAACCCAAATCTCAGCATTGATTAGAAGGATCTATACACATGTTTTCATTGTGTTTTTACTGTGTGGATGATAAATGAACTACTGATGGTGTATACAGATTACTGAATGAGTGAAGAAAAGCTGATGTGAGAAACAGCCTGTGTAGATGTCAATAACTCTGCTCTGTTAAGAAACTCTGATTGCAGACGCCCCTTCTCTGGTGGATCACTATGACGATGGTCTTCAATCTGTCTGCTGGAAGTTTGGCTGTAATAAACCAAAAGAAGCTTGCAGAACTTATTGAACAGATAAGCACAAGTATCAAAGACAGGTAACTAAGCATCCTCTACAGCATGCCTATTCAACTACGAAGTTAGTTGGGCCAGATTTTCAAACCGAGGAATTTATCTGGGCCAGATATTTTTTTAAGCCAGTAAGCAGCAGATCATGATCAATTTCAAACCCACACAACTGTACTGAAAAACAAGTATTTTTTTTATTCCTTTTCCCCTATAAATCTGGTGGTGACCTCTCACAAATGCACACCAAAAGGTCCATTTAAAAAAAAGGGAGCTATAACTAAACTATTTTTTGCACATTTGAAATACTAATAATAATAACAAAAAACATTTTGATAATTCCCTTTCAAATTAAAATAAATATTTCGCTGACCACTCACTTTTCCTGCCATGGATGGAGCCCCATCCGTCACAAGTATACAGACACGCTTCATATCCAGACCATTTTCCTCAAAAAGAGCTTAAATCTCCTCAAACATCATTTCGCCAGCTGTGTGTCCCTCTAACGGTAGTAAACCGAGCAATTTCCCATCCAAAAAACGGACATATGCGCACAACTGTGCATTATCAGTTCTGTCTGTGATCTCCTGCTATAGACATTACATCAGTTTTCTTCAGGTCATCTAACAGCATTTCAAACTCGTCTGACGCCAGAACTTCAATTCTACGAATATTTGAACTGTCCTACAGGGGTACGTTTTTAATAGCAGATGTCACACTCACTTTTCACCGCATCCACCACGGCCAGCATGCAGTATTTCATTGTTTCAGAATCTGTGAAAGGCCTTTTCTTCTTCGCCAAGAAGCAAACACGAAGGGAAGCTGCTGCAGCTCTCTCTTGGGCTGTACAGGACCCTCACCATGGTAGTACAACTCCTGTTGTAAGATTATTAAACTCGGTAAAATGAATAAGTATTTGTCAGTCCAGGCAGGGTTAAACCGACAGTTTTCATTGTCAATTTTGCGCTTTTGGAGTGAGAAAGACATGCTGTTGTCGCATCATATATTACGATGATTGTTTAATATGTTTACATTACGGTGCATTGTGGGTTAAATATTGCTAGGCTACTAGGAGTGTTGCATTCAAAGTCTACACTACGCTGTAGGAATTTTTTTTTTTTTTTAATTAATTAATGAATTCATTTTTTGCGTTTTCTCTGTGTTTCTGCCAGGACCACAGGCAGGGCCACTCGCAGGTTGCTTCTGGGCCGCCATTTGAATAGGCTTGCTCTACAGTCTCTGAAACAAAACATTTTTTGTTATTTGTTTTCATATGAATTCTGTTTGCTAAGCTTGGGAGAGCTGAGTTATGTTATAAGGTGGTGACATATGGTTACACGCAGAGTTATTATAGTTAAAACTAAACTAAAAACTAAAACCAAATGTGGAAAAAAACTAGTTAAATAAAATAAAATAAAAATAAAAATAAAGAACTTCACTTAAAAAAATATCACTGAAATGATTTTGTGAATTTGGAAAACTAACTAAGATAAAAATCAAAATATGGAGCATTTTAATCATGTCCCTACATCCTCCATACAATAATAACTAAAAACATTAGATCACCATGTTGCATGTAATGATGTGTCTCTGTAACTATTGTTGATCTGATAATGAATTTATCCTCTCTCAGTTCTTATTTCCTGCTGCTCTTTGTCTTTTCACTCTGCTTTCTGTAAATATATAAAGTTCTACATAAATAAAGCTGATATAAGAGAGCAGTGATGTGGAGAGGACTACAGCTCCATTACTATCCAGTCTAGCTTTGTTTCTGAGGAAATGTTCAGTACCTCACCTTTCTGAACTGAATGATATAATTCTATAATTATTATAATGATATATTTATATCTAAACTTTGTATCACTTAATTCTTGTTATATTGTTCTTTATGTAAAGGGGATTCCCCATAATAATGCCATCAATAACAACAGTATACATGTAATAACATACATCTGGTATGTTAGCCATCTTTATGAGCTGTCATTAAGCCCTCTATACACAATTTTAATGTGTATATTTGTGTGTGTCTGTGTTTATTCTTTCTTGTGACAGGTACAACATTGAAGAAATGTATGCAGTGGCCACAAGTGTTCCGAAGGATGAAGACCAAGTTTCTTATGACTTCACAAAGGTGACGCCAAACCAACAGACAGAATTGAATGACGGCATCCTCAGGTCTCCGAGACTTGTGGTAGCCACAAAGAAAAAAGCCTACAATAAAAATGGGGACTGTCTATATACTCAACATGCAGAGTGGCGTCTTCTGCAGAATCTATATCTTGAAGGTCAGGATGGTGATTTGTTGGTCTTCTTCTCTCATGCCAGTCCATGTGCCGAAAAGTGTGCAGATCCAGATGGAAAATACAGGATCACTGATCAGCTCAGACGTCTCTTTAATGGATGTGAGTGGGGTGCAAAGGCGTTTGTATTTAACGTTTTATTCAGGCCACCTAGGCAGGACATTAATCCAGACAGGATAAATTTTGCCCTGACAAATATTGGAATAGCCATTGATCACGAAAACTTATTTCGCTGTAACGAAACTAATAATGGCGATTTCCATTGCATCAAATGCTTTAATGGTAGTCAGATAAACCCAAATGCCTACAAAAGGAGCTGGAACAGGAAGCTCCAGGCGGTGCACCGTTGGTCAGATGAACAGTCAAAGTCTACCCAAATCATCAACCACATGGTCCTGGATACGATACACCCCCTCCAGTTTGCATACCGCCCCAATCGATCAGTTGATGACGCAACAGCATTTGCCCTGCACCACAGGGCATTAGCATTAGCCCTGCACCACACTCTGCAACATCTGAAGAGTAGCAGCACGTATGTCAGGATGCTCTTCCTGGACTACAGCTCTGCTTTCAACACCATCCGCCCGGGCAAGCTGATCGAGAAACTGAGTGACGTCAACATCCCAACTCTCACTTGCAACTGGATCCTGGACTTTTTGACAGAGAGACCACAGGTGGTGAGAATTGGAGGACGCGTGTCTGCTGAGCTCACCATCAGCACTGGATCTCCACAGGGCTGCTGCCTCAGCCCTAAACTCTTCACCCTGTACACCCATGACTGTGTCTCCACCCAGGAAAACTCCATCATCATCAAATACGCTAACAACACCACCATCCTGGGGCTCATCAACAGGGGGTACGAGTCTGGGTACAGAACTCTACACTGTTCCAAAAAATATTAATGTCAAACTATCTTACTGTATATTTTACAGTTTTGTACTATCTTTCTAGGATATCATTAAATTTACATAAGTAGACTGTGATCTTACATGTCAAAGGTAAAATAACGTAACAGCTCTGTAAATATAGTAAAACACAATTTACTTGTTTTTTAAATATATATTTTTGTACATATGCATATTTAGATTGTAAAAATCCAGAAATTTATCATAATTTCACGAATATTTGTCTGTTATGTGAGAGAATGATCTGTTAAATTCAAATGTAATACTATGGAAAAATATATAAAATGATCGAAAATTAATGAGAATAATCAATAATTAAAGGAGTATTTGAATTATAATTTTGCTGAAAATTTCATGTCACCTAGGTCTGATTCAATAATTAAGAGGTAACAATGTGAAAATATAATTAATAGAAATAAAAACTAAAAAAAATCATATTGTAGCGTGTTGGGGGAACAGCTAGTTCTCTCCCATCATGCCTTGAGACATGTGCTGCTGTTTAGATGTTCTTGTTTTATTTATTTAACTGTTATCTTGAATGTTGTGTTTACGCCGTGGTGCAGCGTCACTGACAGCTGTTGTTTTGTAGAGAGAGTGCTGTACCATGAGGGACTTCTGTTGTGCTGTTGTTCAAGCTTGAGGCACATCGTAGCAACAGCAAGTGTTTTAATAAAGAGCGCTCCCTTCCAGCTTGGGGTTGAATAACAAGTTCAACCTGTCTCTGTAAGCTTCTTTGTTAAGATTCCTTTGTATGCCACAATGTGCTAATTATAAATTTTGAACAAAGAAATGTAGAGTTAGGAATTGCAATTAATATAAATCTCAGGACAGAAATAGGCCTCTGCACCTGGGGTGAGGGTGTGGCCATGAAAACAATGTGACATTCCATTGGATGTTGGGACACATAATAACATGACGCAAAGCATCGGCCAATGAATGTGAAATAACAACAACCAGGTCGCGGGTAGGGCTGCGACCGTAGGAAAAAATCCTAATATGAAGGTATTTTACGGTGCATTTTACAGTAATGTTCTGTTCTTCTAGAATATCATTAAAGTTACGTAGACTTTGACTTCACATTTCAAATGTAAATTAACGTTAAATCACTGTAATGTAATGAAACATAATTTTCATGATTATTAAATGTATCTGTCTGTACATATGCATATTTAGATTGTTAAAATACCTTCACAAATGTATCACGGTTTCACAAATATCTGTCCGTTATTTGAAAGATTGAACTGTTGAATTCAAATGTAATGCTATGGAAAAGTATATAACATGATCCCTATAAGCTTGTGTTACATCACATAAGTATTATTATCATTGCTATTTAGGGCGATCGTGGCTCAAGAGTTGGCAGTTCTCCTTGTGATCAGAAGATGTCCGGTTCGCGCCCTGGCTCGGACACTCTCCGTCGTTGTGTCCGTGGTCAAGACACTTCACCTACTGGCGATGGCCAGTACAGTAAAGTAGTGCAATTCATCCTGATTGGTCTAGAGTGAAAGGAGAGGCTAATGATTGGTGGAAAATGTGCAATGAAGAAGACTTCTTTTATTCATTCAGTCTGTTGTCTGTTTTTTCTTTATCAGGTGATGTTTCCAGCTCTGGTGCGATATGACAGCCTCGCCTCTGTCAGTCTGTCCCAGGGCATGCAATCCATTATTATTTAAACCAACGGTTAACTGTATATTTCTGTACATTTACGTATTATGATTCATATTGCCACATTCATTGACCTTGTTTATAGGTAATTTCATTGTTTGATCACGTTAAAATGTTCCTAATTTAATGTCTAAAAGCACTTGGAAAAGGCAGAATCATGTAAAATTAGCGCAACAAACTCTATTTTCATTACTGAAAATGACCGTATTTTTATGGGACAGTTATTTTCTGTTATTTTACGGTCGTATTTTGGTGCCCCAGCTGCCGGAATATTACCGTTGTTTTAGGATGTTTTTTAACAGTGTAGTAGACAACGTTCTTGTCTATGGTGAGGAAAACGACCTCATCCTCAACTGCCCAGCTGCCGGAATATTATCGTTTTTTTAAGATGTTTTTTTTTCCTATTTATAGATGATTTCATTGTTTAATCACATTAACATGTTCCTGATTTAATGTTTAGCGGCACTTGAAAAAGGCGAGATCCCATGTCAAATTAGCGCAACTAATTGTATTTTCATTACTGGAAGTAACCGTATTTTTATGGGGAGTTATTTTCTGTTATTTCACGGTCGTATTTTGGTGCCCCAGCTGCCGGAATATTACCGTTGTTTTAGGATGTTTTTTAACAGTGTAGTAGACAACGTTCTTGTCTATGGTGAGGAAAACGACCTCATCCTCAACACGGACAAGATCAAGGAATTAATACTGGACTTTAGAATAGACAGAATAGACAGTAGCCAGTAACAGTCTTTTACACATATGTAAACTGCTCAGAAGAACACAGAAATAATTATTCCTTCTTGATGAAAATGCATCACTGCGTTTCTTTGCAGGTCTGAATTAATTTGATGTTTCTTTAAAAAGTGTCTGTCAGACACAGCATTTTATTCAAAGACACAAACACTGCTCTGCTGCTCAGCAGCTTGAAAGTTGACAAGTCATCAGCTGAAGTTGTTGCAGATTTGAGCTACACTGTGTATTTTTTAGCACACGATGGCAGCTCTGCCACAAAATTGTTGTAAAGTAAGAACAACTGAGAGAAGGCTGCAAAAACAACACAAGAGTCAGAGGAGGAGGACAGTGGAAATTTCACTTTGAGCTCTGTTTGCATGTTTTTATTTGATCTGCTTGTACTGGAATAATAGAAACACTCTGAGAGTGCAAACCTCCACCGAGGCCGCTCAGTCTCTGGGCAGTATAGGGAAACATGACAGAGTAGAAGTACGTAATGAATAATAGGTATTGATTCATAAATACTTTAGTATATTTTTAAATAACTAGGCAGCTTATTCTTCTTCTCCTGACAATACTTTCTTTCTTTAAAGCTTTAAGACATTTGGGGTCAACATAAAAGAAAGGCAGGTTTGAAATGTAAAATTGAGGTCAGAGGTCAAATGTGACATGATATTTTCTATTTATTGACAACACACAAACTTATAAAAGTCATAGTTTCTAAGTTATAAGGCTTTTTGTCAGCTGTTGCATATAAATCTTTACGTTGACATGAAGCATACGCTGGATGTAAGACAAACTTTGATGGATTGTTAACATGACACCACTCGACACCCCCACAAAGTTTAATCAGGATTCATTCACAGCTTTTTAAGTTATTGTGTTTAGAGTCACAATGACTTACATCTATGCAAACACACAGACACAAAACATAATTATCACTCCTACATTTAAGTATGCATAACACTGTAAACAGATAAAAGTGGAGTCATTGTGGTAATGACACATATAGTAAGAATGATGTTGTGAAACTGTGAAAATACATTTCTCAGCAGAAGTAAAGCTGCCTTTAAGAGTCTCCAAAAAAGTTGACACTTCAATGCTTTCCCCGTGTTTTTAGGCATTTCTAGGTTTCATGTCTTGCAAAAGGCTTAAATTAAATTAAAAGGCTTAATGTATTACAAAAACATTAAGCCTTTTAAAACAGGATAAAAGCGTGTTTACCTGCAATGTTGACAGATAAAGTACATTTTTGTTATCTCTTCGTCCAGCTTGAAGGACTTTTTGGTTTTTTACTTAACATTAGCAAACATTAATCTACGTATATTTGCTGGTTTTTTTTAACAGGTTCAGATGAAGCCCAGGTGATGTTTACAAAGGGCTATATAATTTAATTATTCTTAAAATATTAAACACACATAAAGTAAGTTAAAGAAGAAGTAACATTACTCATGACTGCATGATTGTGTTGTTTAACACAAAGAAATAGAGAAGAGGAAGAGTTTACTGTGTACCACAACAACACTGGTCTCAATCTGTGATGTTCCAGATGTGTCTTTCTGCAGAAAAAGGGTAAGAGGACAGAGACTGTAATATGTAAAAGATGCCGGCTGTGAAAGTCCAGTACAAAGTTATAGTTTATTCTATGAATACAAAAAATGAACAAATGAAAAAGCAAAAACCTGCCCCAGCCTCACTCTTCATAGCCCGAGGATAAAATGTTTAACAAACCAAGTCATACTGAGAAGCCAGCTGTGTGCCATTTTGGAAAGGTCCAGAGCCAAAACCAAAACTGAGAGAACCATCACACAGATGCTACCGCTCCAAATCTCAAATTCTTTTGATGTGATTTATGTATTTAATGTCTTATTTATATTTTACATTTGACTAAACCCAATCCTAAACAAATACCAGCTCACAGAAAACCAAAATATTGACATAAATGTGTTTCATAAGTCATAATGAATGTGAGCTGCAGGTCAGTATTTAATGCAGTGGTAGAACTACATCAGTCAGCTTTATTTTGCTACTCAATCATACTAGCTTCTGTGTCTTCACTTCATCACTTCCTCTTTAGCTATTTTAGTTTCCCCATTACATTTTGCATTCAGTATTTTAGTGTTTTAGTCTCTCAAAAATGTTTTTTCACTGAGTAACAAAAGTTTAAGACCGCTTGAAAAATTGCAAATTGCAATTGCAACCCCTATGTTGTGCTCCTGTACCCCGGTCTAGGGGTACAGGAGCACAACATAGGGGTTAAAAGGAAAGTGACTGGACCTTTGATTCCCCAAAGCCATATCCAGAAGGCAATTTACAGGTTAAGGTGCTACCAAAAACTGAAAGCTTTAACTCCGGGGTGACCAAAGGCCAAAATAACAAACAAAGCTATTTCAAAAAGGGAGGTGCTACCTGAACCCTGTGTGAAACAAAAGGTAAACAAAAGACAAGCGCTACCCCTAACTCTATAATTAAATAAACAAGAGAAAAAGTAGAGAAAATAATAAGGCACTTCACCCCTTCTGCTTTAGTGCCTATAAGTGAAAGTATCTCCACACTATATTCAAAGATTAATGATTCTCTAAAGACACACGGAAAACTTCATCACAGTTGGTTTGGAGGCCAAGGAAGGGTCTGCTGCTGCTGTCAGTTGCTGCCAGGGAATAACTGCTGGAGAGTGTTTTTAAAACGGCCACTTGATGATGGGAACCAATCAGCAGCTGCCAGCTCTCCAATCAGGAAGGACCTGCAGAGACTCTTAAAGGCACAGAACCCACTCGGAACAAA